ACCCTCACTCAGAGCCTTTAACGATCCCAAACAGTTCTCCTATAAACACAGTAGACGTACTTTAGATGCAGCTGCAGTCTTGCTTCACAACATTTTCTCCAGTATAGACAATGGGGCTAAATTCGCTGCACCTTCCTAGAGTACACATCCGCTTTCGACTCACTACCTAGAGATATTCTGTTAGATAAGCTTGCTGAAACTCAAACTGAGTATTGGATTGTTAGATGGCTTCATTCTAATTTATCAGGGAGAAAGCAGAACACTGTAGGTCAGGGGGAAGTCGTCCATTACCAATTGTATTTTTGTTTGATGAAGTTATTGTACGAATGCATACGAGAAGAACTTTTTCAAACACGCGGACGATCTAACTACTTCAATGTCTGTTAACTGCCAACTACACCGTACTAAGATGAACAGCTCTCTATTAGGAGTGGGAAAATGCTCTTAAACTAAATCCTTCGAAATGTCAGACTGTTATTTTCAGTTTCCGATGTAAACGAAAGTTAGTTGAAGGTGTTAATTCCTATGACCGTTGCAAAATTGATAATAGTGATATGGAAATGAAGTCTGACTCTAAGTATCTCGGACTGATTCATCGCAGCGTGTTGGCCCTAAATGTATGCCACATGCAGGCATAATGTTTATGAGCTAGGTATGCAAATCATGGTAGACGCTTGTACGGTACATTCATTATTTATAAAACTAACTCGCACGTAAGAACTATGGTTTGATCAGTTATACAACGTTTAATACATTTAGACACAATTAACCTACGATGCTGACTTCTATGACGCATTACCTAAAACTACATTAATATAGTTTCCGCTGAAGGTTATCTCCTATAGTTACTACCTTAGTGGGCAACTTAGCGTTATCTTTGAATAACGAAAATTCCGAGAACTTTCTTGGTAAAAAGATCGTCCCTTACTCGAAAAAATTAAATATACCCTAGTCTCCACAAAAACGTTCAGAGGTATTCATCCTATCACCGCAAACGACTCACTATTTGCAGCCATTTAAAAAGTAAAAATAAATTTACCGATGGCAGCGTGCTTATGATTTCTAGATATCATAATGTACCATGAGGAAAACGCTATCTCCATGCGGTTATAAGTCAGATGTGCGAAATTAGTCAGAAACACAACAACCACGATTCTCAGTCACATAACATCTTACTTCGCTACCTAATCGTATAGTCGTATTAACGGATGTTTCGCCGAAGAAAAGAAGACTACTGGTTCAAGGATAATTTATTTAGTTTTTTTTAAGATCGTGAACATCTGTGTCTATAGTCACGGAAGAATCACAACTTCGAGGAAACCATCAATCGTAGACTACAACCCGAAACGTTATTCTTCCTAATTAATGTCTTACCTTTAACTGGGATTGTTTGAACACTCACCAGATCACCGTATTTTATCCGCTTTGAAAACCGTTTTGCAACCCATCGAATGGATGTTAACACTGGCTCTATTACGGGTAGTCCTAGTTCATTTATTGCGATCTAGTACATCAAGCAATAATAAGCATAAGTAACACTTACCCTTAAGGATTCCAGGTTCTTTTAGTTCCCCCAAAATATACACAAGCACAACAGATTCATACTTTTCATGCGGCTCAACCTTATTTGGCTTAGATTCTCTCACAATATATTTTTTTAAATGATAGCAGACACACGGATGGTATATTCACATTCTCAAAAATCTTCAAAGCTTTTTCAACTTCAACCCAGGTTCTAAATTCTCTGGGTTTAATTTGTTCTTCGAAAACCTTGCTAATACCAACTCTGATGGTGCTCTCTTCAACAGATTCACTCGCAGATTGTTGTATGCTGCAAACATGAACGAAAAAGACACTCTTTTTCCAGATTTCTACATGTTATGCAAGTAACTGAGCCAACAATTGTAACGGCAACCAACTAATGGACTGGAAACAACTGCTTCTGACAGCCAAACATCTTCATGTGCACAATTTCAAAACCCTCTACACAGTACTAATTCATTAACAGCTGAAAACCAACTAAAACACTCAAAGCCGCATGAATGCAAGGTATGAAAACAATTACACCGAAATGAATGCACTGGCCTGGTAGTGAAAACTTTCGAAACCAAAGAAATAATTCATTTTAACAGCAACGGAAACAAAAAATGAGGTGAAACGCAACATTTGTGAACGATACGCAACAAGATAAGTCGTGTATAACGGCAGGATAAACGGAACAACAAACGCGTTAACGAACAGCTACGGAACTGCGATCCAACATGGCCGACTAAAATGGACGAAAATGACCTTCGAGCGCCTCACTCCACCAATGACCTTGATAAGTGACGGATAATTTCAGCCTCTGAAAGTGCATGCACAAGAAGGCATAACATGTTGACAAGTTAATAATAATAATAGTATAGTTGTGAATACTAGTTAGAAACCTTCTTAGCTGAACAGGACCAGGAAAAGTTAACAAATGATTCAAATCTAAAACTTCTCCTACGAAAGAGTATCTCAGGCACGCTGGTGATAACGCACACAATATGCACCTTTTCGGCTGGATAATTAATAATCATAATAATGGTATAGTGGAATTTTTATACTTAGACGTATGTGCATAAAATCTTCTGAAATACCTCTTGTTTTACCTGAGGAGACACAAGTTTGGGGCTGCGGGCAAAGTGGATGGTCACAGTCTGACAAAATTCCTTTAGTAAATTTGTTGCATGCAAACAAGTGCCTATCAGTGACAATGTCAACGATATGGCCCAATGGGATACCACTCACCCTCGTGACAGTCTTCAGAGTTCTACGAAGTATGACATAGTCTTTTTTAAGCGATCCAGGAAAGAATAAGAGCGAACGGTTCAGAAGAATATGTAAGATGCACGAGTTGACAAACCATAGAAAGAGGCATTAGGTTATGCCTGAGTGCCTTAACTTCTTAATGTAAAAAGTTAGACGAAATATTTTTTAGAAATCGCTAAGATATGGGAAGACCAGGAGAAATCAGGAGAAAGAATTAATCAAAGATTCATAACTTCAGACTTGGTTTTTATATAACTATCATCAGTTTTGCAACGGTCATAGGAACCAGTGGCTTCATTTAATTTTTTACATCGGAAACTGAAATTAACGGTCTGACACAATGCTGTGACGACGGACTGGTGGCCACGATCTTTTAGGAAACCAATTTGAACTGTTTGAACATCTTTCGGCTACTTTCTAGTTCGTTTCGACTAGAAATAACGCTCACTATCGCTGTATGACCATCTGTCATGTTAGATTTGAGCTCCGGCCACACTACTTGCTAACATTGTCCTTCTCCACCTATATTAGCGCCAAAAGTATTCTTAACTCCGCCTCAAATGGTGAGGGGAAAATTTAACACTAACGGCTGCTTAAAGGTGTATTTATTGACGATGATTCGAAGAGAGCTTAGAGGTACACAATCACACCACAAGAGGCTGTCGAGATCTTTTCCCCTGAAAATCCATTAGTATACCCTGTTTCATCCCGCACAGACAGACAAAGTGACTGCTGACAGTAAAACGGCTGACATCCAGTTGACTTGATGGGCCCCTTCTATATCCTATAGTCTACTCCTATGAACTAGACAGCGATATGTAACTTCAGCAGAAAAAGTAGCAAGTTACATGAAAGTCAGGATGAACGACCTTTGGCAGATTATCCCGAGTCATCCTTTGCTGAATGACAATGTGCTGAATATCGTTATATTTAAAATTACTCTTTTAAATATTTATCAGTTGCTGGGGTAATCGAACAGATGTAAAATCCCCCTAATGGGCTCTCTAGATACCAAGAAAATAGTAGTTAAGCATTGCACTTCGAACTGTGGGGCAGATAAATGAACGATCCTTTTTGCACTGATGACAGAACAGAAGGAAATAATTTAAGAGGCTAGAAATTACTGTGGTATGGCGAAAAAAATTAAAGGAGCAATAAAATTTGATTTCTGAGATCACAGATATTCAATTAAAAGTCACATAAGGCTTTATCAGCAAGTTAGAAAATACATTGCCAACCATGCTCATTGGTGTCCTTGATAATATTGTAGATATAAAACTGAATAACTGTGATTCGTCAACCAAAAATAAGCCATATAATAGGTGTCATATAGGAAAGGTACCACAGAAGACTTACCGGTAATTATTATCGCGACAGGAAGTTTCCATAATATACCATGGCATCCCTATTAAAAAAAGAATTTGGTGGAGTACAGCTGTCAGTCTCTTTCAAAAAGTTTCTATGGTAAAAATTGCATATGCTGCCTTTGATGTGCACATGATTCTGCTAATTTTGGCGTTTATAGGTAACTCAGTCATAGCGGCTCGCTTGGTTACCTACATTTTGGACCTTAACATCTACAACCGTTGGTCAGAAAATCCAGTGTTTTCCTATTCAGGATAACTGGTTACCAACAAAATATATAGAAAACTCTTCGGGACAGTACTTTAGAAACTCACTTTAACTTATTCCTCAAGTGACTTGTAGTAAATTTAACAAGCCATCAGGCAAATGGCTTACAATAGTGTTAATAGGTAGGTGGTTTCACGACATTTTACTTTTAAATAGACTACTTCCCATTGCAAATAAAACGTATACGTGTAAATAGAGGTCGGGAGGCCCAGCCTAATATCTCGACACAAATGACTGGAGACAGTTACTGGAAAGAATGATATTATTAACATTAGGCAAAAGCGAAAACTCAGGAAAGCGCATATAGCCTGTAGATTTACACGAAACGAAGAAACAAAGTGAAAATGAACTGTGGCACAGAAAAAAAACCAATAGAGTCCAGAACATCAAAAATTCTACTTACATTTTCAAAATTCCATAGCATTATAAATAGCTTACTGATATAAAACTAAACAGACCTGACTAACTCTAATTGTTTAACTTTCAATAAATTCAATGTCTAAGAAATTGTTTAACTACACCAAACCCTAGGTGAAAATCCATGACAACTCAAAATATTTTATGATTTCAACGCTATGGTTGGCGTAGATCCGGAACAAGAAGGTATGACTGTTTCATAGAACACATCTACTTAGAATTTACGTAAACGATGTGGTTATACGGATAGGAGCATATTTTTGGTTTAAGATGTTCATTTCTAGTCAAAAAAAGCCTGAAATATTTTCATCTTAGTCTTTTCATTGATTTTCCTGAACAAAAGTTAACTTTAAGATTGTCAAAATGGAACTGTTGCTTCTGAGATTGTGATATAGAAGTGAATTTCCACTGAAGCTATACTTGCGAATCAAACATTCAAGGACATGTTTATTCAAATAAAAACATTTTGAGTAATTTTTAGGTATCACAATGGAGAAATTTAGTAGAAATGCAGCACTTCTTCCCCTTAAAACTCTGAATTGATCCGCACCCAAAGCCCTAAATTACCCCTTAAACACATGAAATCGCCCTAAAACTATTATTTGGGCATATATATTGTTATGACATTCTCTTCATTTCTGTGACAGCCGAAATCTCGGCACCCAGGTTATGTCCTCATTCCGCAAGTGCCAAAGTATTTTGAATATCGTCAGTATTCTTCAGGTTCGTTTTGTACTTTACTTACAGCTAAACTGTCACGGTTAGATTTTGAAGAGAATTTCGCAGATTTGTAGCTTATTATTATTATTATTGTATCCTTTAATTCCTAGAGGAACATAGGGCTTCAGCTGAGCACCTCCATTGCCTTTGGTTTTCTGCCAACTTTTTCCCCCCACTCCAAGTCTGCCCACATGCTTTCATCTCGTCTTCACGTGACCTCCTCCAAGTCACCCTCACACTGAAGACCAACTCGCCGCTTTCCTTTCGGGTTCCACTCGAGCGGTGGCTTGTCTAGTGATGTCACTTGATGGTCTCCTCATAGTATGGCCAATCCATCTCCATTTACTCCTGCCTATTTGCTTCACAATCAGTTTTTGGTTGGTTCGCTCCCAGAGATCCCTGTCGCTGATCTTTTCTGGCCATCTGATCTTGAGTAGCATTGAGCGAAGAAAACTGTTGATAGCGGTCTGTAGTTTGTTTGAGGTGTTCTTTATGACGGGCTGGTCAAGTCTCTGATCCGTACAGTGAGTAGCACTGACTGACTTTACATTAGAGTTGGAAATCCGGATCTTATTTTCATTTTTATGCTGAGTGCTGTTGACCTCCACACAGACTCGAGAGTAATGAAACCTTGTCTTGTTTTCCCGATTCTTGATTTGATATCCTCGTCAGTTCCACCTGTATTTAAAACGATGCTTCCCAGGTAGGTGGGTAGGTGAAAGAGGTTGTTTCTTTCAGGTTCCTCCCATTTATGCTGGCTGATTGCTGTCTGTTGTTGTTGGTGTTGGCCAGGAATCTTCATAACCTCCGTTTTATCTATGTTCACTTGAAGTCCTATCTTTGATGCTTCTTCTGCCAACTTGTTGCTTTTCACATGCATACCTTCCAGTTTGTGGGAAATCAGACATACATATGTCATCGACGAAGTCCAGATCCTCCAAGTTCTATCTTTGTGTGAATCCATTTTATGCCTGTTTCCTCATTTCCCGCTGCTGTCTGTCGCATTATCCAATCTACTGCAATCAGGAAGATCATTGGCGATAGTAGACAGCCTTGTCTCACTCCCGTCCTCACTTTGAAGGCTTCCATAAGTTTCCCGTTGTGGATTACTTGGCATGCACCATTGTCGTATAATTGTTGGATGAGAAGCATAACTGTCGATGGAACCCCGTAGTAGCGAAGTAGTTGCCAAATGACCTCTCGATCGACGCCGCCGAAGGCCTTTTCAAAGTCGATGAAGTTGAGTCACGTAGAGAGGTGACTGCCCTTTCAAGCTCTACTCAATGATGATCCGTAATGTGGCGATTTGATCCATACATGACTTGTTTTTCCTGAATCCAGCTTGTTCCGTTCGGAGTTTTTCATCTAGGGTTTGTTTGATTCTCTCCAGGATGATGCGGCTTAGTAATTTTCTTGGGATTGGGGTTGCTAGCCTCACGCCTGAGAAAGGAATTGTAGCTCATATCTAAATATAAAAACGGTGTTTACTTTAAAGCCGAGCACGAAATACTAAAATTTCTTACCTTGAACATTCTTGAAGATTCAAGACTTTTTGTGAGTTCTGTTGTAGTGCCATGTAAGACAATACCAATCTACCAGAGTTATCTAGTCAATCATCAAATTTCATATTATAATGGACAGCAATCTGTAGGTCTATATTAATCCTTTCCAGTAACTTAACACCGGGGGTCTGATGCCGCTTTAAGTGAACTGCTTCACATTTAGAAGTAAAGGATCCGAGAGAAAGATCACGAAGTTCAGTAAGCATATCTTGCTGTCGACTGCATCCTCAAAAACTGTACAATCTCATATTTATGTATAAGTCCGTGTAGTTGCAATTATCACTTGATTGATTCAGTGGAGTAAATCCTTTTTAACTTGATACGAAAGTTTGCAATAGACAAACTTGTGTGTAAAAGTATGATTCTACAGTTTTGAGGATGAAACGATCGAAAAAATATCTCTACTGGACTTCTTGTTCTCTCTCTTCAGTTTCCTAGTGGGCATTTTCCATCAATCGAAGAAATGACCTATTTGATCGTGTTATTTTAATTTAAAGGTAATTTCCTGGTGATATAACAACGGGAATAAATCTAGTCTGTCTAATCTGTTCTTACTTGAGAGGTTTGACAGTCCCTTCATCAATTTAATTCTAACCCTTTGAACTCTTTTTAACATGTGTGCTTCCTGTTAGGAAGATGAGATTGATGCCTAGATCCAATCTTCTGAAAGACATCTAATAAATTCCCATTATGATATACAAAATATATTGACGTCGAAGAATGCAGATGCCTAACAAAGAGTCCATAACGTTTTGAGAGACTCCTTTACCTCTACCGTATAGTTTGCTGTGGTTTTCATAGGATGGTTTACAATTAATCCTTGGTGATTATACTCTGTAATCATTCTTAAGGCGGTCTAGTGAGTAATTCTGCATGCTGATGTGACTGATGTTCATAAATACACTCGCTTACATCGGTTTCCAAAAATCAGTATTGACACTAACTAGCCAATAAATTAAATCAACTATTATCATTCTTCAAAGCCCTCTGGAGTTTAATATCATTACAAATGTTAGACAAGATGACTAAATTATCAACATTATCTTGTTTACGTATTGTAGGAGTGGGATAGGGTCTCGACTTGCCTCCTTAAAGAACGACACTTCACCGATTGCCATGATAACAGGACACCATTCACCCATATTTTCTATCTTCTTTACCTATGAAAGTTCGGAATTCAGTCTGTAGCTGCTTTTTCAATGCCAACCTATCCTCACCAGAAGACCTAACGAGGAAAGCCTTTTCTCAGTTCACGAACGTGGTATCTATCAATAACTTAACACCAGCTGTTTTACATAAGGTTTTCTGTGTTGAAAGAAGTTGGATCAACCAAGAATGATCCTCCATAAAACCTCACTACCCATTGGAAAATGTCTGTTGCCCTCAATATGATGTAAATAGCATGACGGATGATTCTCTGTAATAGTCACTGATCCCTACAGGACAGTAGTTGCTAACTAAATATCTAAGTGCGGTTTGGAAGGCCGAATTGATGACGATATTCTTTTCGTCTCGCATACACTGTACTAGTCCAGGCAAGTACTGAACACCACTTGCAGTGGTTTTGTCATTGTCTCACTCTACGCCGGTGACAGAAGTTTATTGTGGCTACTGTATTTTCCAGAACTGCGCTTTGGAAGCGGCTTTTTCTCAGTGTGAACCGATTCCTGAAAAAAACTATTGATCTCGCTATATCATTATCATAAAACTACTTGGCCAAAGTGACTTGATAGAGCCTTGACCTTGGTCAAATTCTGACTAGCCATACATATTGAGCCTTCCTCAAGCAGAAAGATAGAGATAACGTCACTTTTACTTGTCCTTCTCTTCATGTGCAAACCAGTTTAAAACATATTTAAAACGTGCACATACTCATTTAATTGTGTTTGAGGAAAATCATAGCGTACGTTGCGTAAGATATCTGAAAAGTATTCTAATGAATGTGAAAAGATTAGTATGTTCAAAAGCTTTCAGGTGTCTTCATCATGGAGGTAGCTTCGATTTTACAATCGCGTGTTACTGAAGGAAAAATGAAGAGTTCGTAAACTTTTGGTGGCATCCACTAATTGAACAGCAGTGTGCATAACTAAGGCGAATAGGTATACCCATATTGTACTACAATAACTTATTTAGCTGCAGTATCAGAAAATCGAGATATTTTTTTTTGAGGTAAAGCTTAAAGTTCTTTAAACTTCGCCACCGTCTATAAGCAAAATAGTATAACCTGATATCTGTCACTAATTATTTAGTATAGGGTAATTAAAGAAGGAAATATCTCTGGGGCTGAATGCTTTCGTTGCAACTGTTTTCATTAGCAAATATTAGCAAAACATAACTCTCTGAACATGATGAATTGAGACAACTAAGCTGACATTCGCCTTCGTGTATGAGAAACACTCCTGGCGGCTCCTACGGATATCGATTCAGATTCATTATGAAATTTTAGTACATGTCATTGATTATAATGAGGACGATTTCTGAATTCTCAATGGCTAACTACACTCAAATGAATCAAAGTAATATATATTCACGCGGATATTTCATTTTTTCCAATTAGTATCATGACTAAATCCAACGATTTTTTTGGTCTTGCATCATGATGTAATTTTATTTATTCATCAGTGACTTGACTATCACGGAAAGAGGAGTTTTTATTGTACGATATCTGCTGACATTAGCTCTTGCAAATATCGTCTATGACTGATCATTTCAGTGTGAGGACCTAAATATTTCCCAGTAACATGTTTACTTAATGTCGGCAATAAACAAGTCATGGGGTACAAACAATTTCAGGCCATGGTCTAAACTAGCCTTTTCAACGGATGATTTTCCTGGAAGTTAGAGACTCAAAACGTTTAGTGTTTTTATGTCTTGTCTTAGGAACAGATCGTAGTATTTATTTCAAATTTTATAGTTATTTTTGTCTTAGTGTGATTTATTCACAAATATTATTGAATTTAACTTTCTAGGATGCAGTCACTGATAAATTCGATTGCATTTTCAAGTATTGGTTCGTAGAGATCTGAGTGATTGGTCACAGAATTTTATCATGAGCTGACATCGGTTAGAGAACCATTGGAAAACCATCTGGGAGTACTGGAGAGCTGTTTCATCAGTACTCACCCACCAGCAGAGTTCGAACTCAGGACCTCCCACTTAAGAGGGTGACCTCATAGACCACTAAACCACTGGGACCCGATCCAATGGCCAGCCCATGAATTCCAACCTCTGCCAATTCACGACATAGCGCGACCACTAACGAATGTCTTCAGTGAGTATTTGTCCTCACACCCAACCTGCTGTATCCAACTGGTCACAACTTCCCACCAGAACCCCAGGTAACTATCTACCTGAATAGGGCCAGTCGCTAGTGAGCATCTCATTGATATTCAAGTAGACTAACATTCTTAATCGAAAATCGCATAAATTTCTTTTGAGTATTAATGTTATCAGGAATGATTACTAGTCTAGACAAACTCCTTATGAATCATCCACCTATTGCAATAATTTCCTCAGTCTATTTGATAATTTTATGATGTACAGAATTCGTTATACCTATACCTATTGGGTTTCGTGGCGTGTCAACTTTCCGAATACTACACAGTTAAGGCGTATTAATACAGTGTTCTTTTTATAAATCCATTGAGGCGTAATTTATGGATCTAGTGAGTAATGTATTTCTTCATAATCAAAAGTTCATTTAAAGAATTATTCATCTGAAACAAAGATAGATCTTCTCCTGATAGTCAAATTCAACCATGATAATAATATCGACATTTCTGTTTTTTCTGAATGATAATTTTGTCCTTCTTTATAATGATGACACTTACTTACACAAATTTTCTACCTCACTGCATAGTTGGAGAAATGATGAGAAATGGTTACTAGTTTCACTTTAAACCAATCAAAATTGCTTTAACAAGATATTACTAAGTCTGATATTTGATTTTAATTTGTGGATGATGACTAGCAGTGGAATCCAGGATGCACATTTCGTCCTAATTGAGATCGAGCACTTCGGTTCAATCAATCGACTGGAAAATCTAAACAATTCAATTAAATTAATATGACCCGTTGCACTAGAGGTGGCTGTCATGGTCCAAGTGGCCTAGTGGATAACGCTTTGGCTTTCGAAACTATGGGCACTGGGTTTGAGCCCCGGTGGGAACATCATCACCGACTGGAGAATGGAGGTACATTCAGTGACGAGTCCCAAATGGGACGAAATGCGCGTTGTCTTGGATTCCACTGCTAGTAACCATCCAAAAATTAAATTCTAATTAAATGCCCAAACATCGTCGAAGCACCTTCACAAGAAGCCGACATGTCAACCTGCGACCGAGCACTTCGGTCCAATCAATCGACGGGAAAATCTAAAAAATTCAATTAAACTGATATTTTATTGTTCAAATTTATTTCACTGTGAGTGACCCGCTTACTTTCGCACCAACAGTTTTGTATCTCAGTCTAAATGTAAATTAATTTTATTTTGGTTTATGTGGCACATATTTTACATCGTTTTTGATCATATCTGCCCCCACGGACATAAGTTACGTCATTACCATAGACTGCGAATTCAGTTCGACTGCAGTGGATCTGTTAAGTCATATCACATCGCAACATTTATCTTCTGGATGTTTTTATTTAAATTATAAAACTGGATTGTTTTTGTCCAGTGATATTTTCACACTACATTTAAAAAAGCTAGCACTTTCATAAGAGCTTATGTGATCTCAGCTAATCTCAGCACTCAGCAGCACTTTCTAGAGAGTGTATCAATATTGACAAATATTCGAGCTCTGTTGAAAGAGAGCTGAGTTCCAAATCGAAATTATGCAAAAATAGCGTGGGAAAGGTTGCTTTGGTGGCACAGTGGTAGAATGTTCACCGACCACACAGGTAGTTCAAAGTTCGATCGTCCGCCGACGCATTCCTTTACCTCACTAAGCCAGTGATAAAACTGGTAAAGAGGGAAGGTTGGGCCTGAGGCGAGCAACTCCATCCCGTAAAAGTAAACACTACTGCTACCAAAACTTCACGTCACTAGCTTGAAGCCCTTTGTTCCCCTAAGAATGTAAAGGAATAAAAAATGGTGGGGAAAGGTTGTAGTTCTAGGTTAAGCATGAGTTTAGTATAAAGTAGGACAGTGCGATCAAAAGGATACTATCATAACAATTAAAATTCCAGCTTAACAGTAATGAATAATCAAACTTGATAACGTAGAGGAACTCAGAGATAAAGATGACCTATATTACTGAATAGTAAAAAGTTTCTGAAGGCATAACCGAATTTAAGGATTAAAGACAAAACGGAAGCGAGGCAGAAAAAGAATCAACAGTCACATTTTGATTAAGTGTGAGTAACTCTTAAGCGTCTCAAAAAGTTAGGTTTAACTAGAGATAAGGTTCCCCTAGTTCGCCTCCGAAGGTATTACTTCTAAATCTTGTCCGTAGAGTTACAGCACTGCTGTATCATTGTGTGATTTTTGTCAAATTAAATTCTTTGATGCTTTTACTTTCTAGATTTAATCTAGGCTATTTATAGATGATTTATTGACCATGGTGGTATATTTCAAACTTCATATTGTAATGGTTATACTTTAAGCTTTATATACGGTGTCTAAGTGCATCCGTGGTTCAGTCGTAAGATACTAAGCAACCATGCAGGGTTCAATCCTTGACAGACGCACTCTTTAACCACTCTTAACCGGTGGCAAGACCGGTGAAGAGGAAAGGTTAATCGTGAGGCGAGCGACCTGCCTTGTAAATAATGAACATTGCTGGTAGGGAAATTTTCAAGGTCAAACTTTCAGCTCTATATTCCACTTAGAACGTAAAGCAATAAAACAGTAGAAGAATATGGTATTTAAATTGATACTACTTATATATATATATATATATATATATATATATATATATATATATATATTATATATATTTGTCATTAGTGTAATTAATCCATATTTTCTTTGATTTTATTGAAATTCTTCTTTGCAACAAATCATATCATCTAGAAGAACGTCGATCTACTCATCAAAGTAATCTTGATGAAGACGACTTGAATGATGAAGCAAATGAATTGAAAAAAGCAATAATTCTAAAACCAGGTGATAAATTTCTTGGAATATCAACCAATCCTGAATTGTATGAAGCACAAAGTGTTAGTCGTATTGAAGATATACCCGATGAAGTACAAGAAGGCATTGAACGTAGCCTTTCAGATCTTGTTAGAGATAGAATTTATCTAACAGATTTTGATCCAGACCTTCATTGGACCAGCTTACATGAAGAATTTGTTGAAAATGAATTTGCTAGCGGTGAGCACAACCTACTTATCTGCTATATGATGAATAAAGATGAGCTAAAACTAGAATTTGAAGTACCAAGATTTTGGTGTAGTGAAATTAATTACTTCATTTTCACACCAGGTGTAAATGGGGAGAAAGTGACTGTTGATAATTTTGATTTACGCATACAATTTGGTAGTATATCAGGTTCAGCTATACAACGTTTACTCAGCGTTATGTCAGCGGTGTTTGCACCAAATCTATTCGCCAATGCATCATGGCCAGATAGCATACATAATGATTTTGCATTACAATTACAACGTTTCATGTCATCACTTACCGATGCCAGATGGAAATTAGAAAATAAAACTGTACTATACATGCCTACAGAAGGTTTAGACTTATTACCAGAGATAGCAGCTAAAAATAAAGAACTAGTGAACAGATTTGAAATGATCATTATTCACTGGACAAGACAAATTAAAACTGTTCTGAACTCACAGAATGTAATTGATGAAATTGAAGGCACTGGGCCATTAGATGAAATTGAATTTTGGCGTAATCGTTGTGAAGATTTAACAGGAATTAGTTTACAGTTGGATCGACCAACTATCAAGCATATAACAGAAATTTCAACAATTGCAAAATCAACTTATATTACAGCTTTTTTAAAGTTAGCTGATGAAATTAAATCTAATACGCTACAAGCACAGAATAATTTGAAATTTTTAGATACAATTAAAGAAGTCTGTCATCATTTAGCTGAATCGAAACCAGTTGATATTCCTGCCAAGCTACCACGTCTTATCAATACTATTCGTATGATATGGACTAATTCAAAGCATTATAATGATAAAGAAGCTATAACAGGATTATTTCGTAAATTATCAAATGAAATTATATCAAGATGTTGTAGTGTTATTTCACTTGATGATATATTCAATGGAAAAGTTATCTCCACTTCAGTAAATTTACATCATTGTATTAATTGTTGTGAAGAATACAAGCAGATTTATGATCGATTACAGTTGATGCATTCACGTAATTCACCAAAACCATGGGATGCACAAAGGAGTAGTATATTTGCACAAGTTGATGCATTTATACAAAGATGTCGTGATCTTTTGGAAGTGAGAATATGCATTATTTTATATATATATATATATACTCTACACTACTTGTCAGGGTGTAAATTTGATTTAGCTAACTATTACAATGTTGCCACTGTTAGAATGAGTGGGTTCATAGATCATCCTAAAAACAACGCTGAAGGCGATGATGTATGTATATATAATTTCCCTTGAATTCCCGGTGGAACATAGGGTTTCAAAAGCGAATCTACACTTCATCAGGTCCTCTGTAACTGCCTTTAACTTATTCCACGATTGACCATAAGTTTCCATTTCCTCCTTGTAGAATCTCCTCTGTGTCACCTTCAGAACAACCCCCAACTTGTCATTTCCCATTCGGGTTCTGTTCGGGAGCTTAGCCCGCGATGTCACCCAGCTGTCTTCTCAATATGTGTCCAATCCATCTCCACTTTCTTCCACATATTTGTTGGGCAATATATATTATTGTTGGTACTCTGCTTTCTGTCTATCTAATCTTCAGCATTAAGCTAGTGGTGACAGCTATTGATAAGGGTCTGAAAACTGTTCGAAATGTTTAAGGTGACGTGCCTAGGATCTGAACCAAACAGAGGTACTAAATTCCCATTACTGTTAGAATCTGAATCATATTTTCTATTCTGAATACATCAGATTTCCACATTGATTTCAGATAAGTCAAGGTCTCTCTTGACTTTCCAATCCTGCCTGTGACATCCTCATCCATATCGTTTGTCGTTGAAATGGTGCTGCTTAGATGAATGGAAGAAGTGACTGCCTTCAAATTTCTCCCATTGATGGTGACTGGTGCTTGTTGTTGTTGTTAGTTAGTTAGTTAGTTGTCTTCATCACATCTGTCTTCTGTATATCAACCTGGGTGTGATATAGCATACCCATAAATACTGTAGTTTGAGTGAAGAGTAGTACTTGGATACAAGTAAGAAACAAAGCATCTCTGATGCAATAAAATCCCTATGGGATCACAAAAATGTAATATCATACGCTTATCTTTGAAACCTACTGTCTTCATTTGGCTATCAAACAGGATTTAGTGCTTCAGAGTAGAAGAACTCCGAAATCGCGCAAATAAATTCCTGCAAAAAATTTTTCCAATATCTTAACATTATATTCCTTGTGTCATTACGTGAATATAATGACAAACTTTACAGCTACAATGTGCTTGTAGCCTATAAATACTTAGTAAACTTTCATATATTTATAAATTTGCTACGATATCGACCCGTCTTTCAGAGGATTGGATTTTATCCGGCTATTATCCCTGAAATACTTGGTGACTAAGAGAAAGACACTAAGGAAAAAGGGACCACTTCAATGTAGATTACTTCAAACGTAAATTTTCTGAATTTAGTCTAATTTTTTGGTAATATCAAAGTCACTGATGTTGACTACTGGAATAAATCCCGCGGTTATTGATAAGAAAATAAAGTCGTGGATATGTAACAATAACAATAACTTCATTGCAAACCGTACTTTTGGTAGAAATATGGAATTTTCAGCTTGTAGTGCAATAATGCATCTGATTTTCTCATTACAGGCGCAATAGTTAAAGTAGGGCATTTACGTTAATAATATTGTTCGGTAAGAAGTGAATATACAATTATATCAAGTGAAAATATTAGCGATAATGTAATAATGTAAACAAAACACAATACCGTTTGCTCAGAGTTCCTCAGTACACTATTACACTATTCTCATCACCTAAAATGTGTGCTAAGTAAGGTATCGCGGAGTTTTGGTTCTTAGTCGTCCGAGCATACAGTCTTCTATAGTTGTTTCTAGTTCCACCCGATGAGATGCTAGCAGAGAGAGTTGTGTATGGAGAGGATATTCAGAGTCTGCTAGGATAACGTTTGATAATTTCTTGCAGGAATTCAAGTGTCTGTCTACAATAGTATCAAAGAGCAACAGTCCACTCGTCTTGCTGACGGCTTTAGTGCCCTACGCAGTATATCAAAGTCTTTCTTGAGTAGCCCAGGAAAGATTAATGGGAAACAGTAAAGAAGTACTGACAGAATACAAGGATTAACAAATGGCAACAATAGAGACGGAATAATGCCAGATTGTCTTAACTTCCTTAAATAGAATGCTAAAAGAAATATTTCTCTGGAAACCAACATGATATGGGGAGACCAGGAAAGGTGATCAGATGAAATACACAGTTTAAGGTATTCAACATTCGATTTGGTTTTAAATTCAGTGCCATCTATGATGGTGGGACCGTAAGAACTGACCAGTTCATATGTAAGTCACACTTGCGTTTGAAAATGAAATTAACCATCTGACATTTGAAGGGATTAACATTAAGACCATTTGACGAGGACCACTGATTAACTTCTGATAAAAAAGTTGTTCATTTTAAAACTGTGGCTGAGAAGTAACGTATCAGGAACTCAGTTATTTTAATAACAAATGAAAGGATAATAAACTAAATTTATATATGTATATATATGTAGTAGTGGGATAATAAGATCACAGATACTTCTTTTACCTCAATAACTGGTTATCATTACTCTTATGTTATTGTAAAGAAGACCATTTTCAGTCGATACTACTTTCTTAATGACGACATTCAGTATATTATTTAGTTGGTAGTGAAACCTAAGACGCACGTTTCCTCCTTTATTGGATTCGTCAACCAGAAGTATCTGCTCCCCAGACATGGATGTCCTCAAACAGAACAAAAGACTCTTCTAAATATCTAAGTGGGGATTTTCTCTGCATTATTAATGATATGATTAAAAACTTCCTGTTTCGATATTTCGTAGAGCACTTTTATGTACAGTGTTTTAGAGTAGATTTTCTTTGACTTAGACTTGTCTGTTGTACAAATTTATTTCTCTTTAATACATTTTTTTTGAAATTTAAATTTTTAAGATATGTGAATGTCAAAAACATTTTGGTCGATATGAAGAAGGCAATAAAACAATTATGCCAATATTTCAAGGAATTCGTGGTCCAGAAGTAGAGATTCTTTTAACAACAATTGAACAAATGTTTGCTAAATTAATGAATAATTTATTTGAAAAACGTCATTATATCTTAGATGTGAAGGCTACATCATGGCATGATGATTATAATCGCTTCAGGATAGGCATAAAAGATTTAGAAGTAATGATGCAGAATGCAATAAATACAGCATTTGAAACTGTTACAACTATACAACAAGGCGTTGAAGTATTGGATATATTTGCTCATCTTCATCATCGTGAGGTAAGCATGTCTATTTTCTGGAAAAATGAGAAACTGGTATAGTTGAATATATTCCGTTTGTTTTGGATTTTAGTTAGTAGATGAAATCCATGAATCAGTTGTTTTGTTTTTGTTGTAATATTAACTATACTTTGAATTTAGCGATGAACTTTGTAAGAAAAGTAGTGACCTAATAAAGACCTTTCATTGTCTCAAGGGTAAAATGATTTGAAAGGCGACAGGTAACAAAATGCTCTTCGTTGTACACTTGATTTTAATTTAAGTTTTAAATACTCGTTCCCCGTGAAAGATCAGGTTTTTGTCCATTAACGTTTAAATGGTGCTTTCACTCTCTTTGCACTATGTGAAAGACAGTGAAGTCTAATAAGAAATGTAGATTGTAGATTAATATTTTTGGTGCAAACAGTATACGAATACCTTATTTGAATGTCAAGCTGTTCAAATAAATAGTGGTCATAAATGACCTGGCATACATACACAATTATTCTTCCTTATTCAACTGGATTAGCAGTATGCCATCAGATTTGCATTCAACACATAATACTGGATGTAATTGACAAATAAAACTATATTTTCAACAGTTGGCTTGTAAGGATTATTTTTGTTTTGACGAATTGATCACAGATTGATATCAGTTGGTTCTCTAACTGATATTATTCTGTGATCAGCTCGTCAAAACAAATCTGAACCTTACAAACCAGCTATTGAAAATTAATCTGATGCTTTCTGGTGGCTTGCTACAGGACGGAGTTTGCTGGAGTTCTAATGAGAATTCGTGACCAGTGAGGTTCAACCAGTCAAGTGGGAGGATGGATATCCCAGCGATGACATTGGTTGATGGTCACGCTAAATCATGAACAGGTAGAAGTTAGAATTCATGGGGTGGCCATTGAATTGGGTCTCAGTGGCTGAATGGCATACGAGCTTGCCTTGTGACCGGAAGGTCCTGGGTTCGAACCCTGTCAGTGGGTGCGTACTACCAATGATTGTCAAACTAGGATGAAACAACTGACTGTCCAATACTTCCTGGTTTTCAATGGTTCTCTAACTGATGTCAACTCATCAAAATAAAACTACCAAAATGCTAACGCAACAGTTGAATGCAGACTATATACTAAGTCAAGCAGGTGAAGAGATTGGACAACTTCAACTAACAGATGGTAATCCATACCATTAAAGATAGCTCTATTGAAGTGGTAAAAATTGGAGATCTTTTCTTTTCAAGTTCTTTTTCGTCGATGATGAATTACTACCAACTTGTATAACTCACTTATGTAATTACTGATTTCTTGAATTTTTCATACTGCGTTATTGTTGCATTGTTAAAATTCGATTAGGTAATATAAAATTCAACTGAATTCAGAGATTTTATCAAAAGTAATCATTTATGAAAGATTGTGTACTTCTAAATTAACCTGTATAAAATTCATTTGAAAAAAAGGGATATCCATCGTTAGTAATATGAGATTGTATTTGCTTTCCCAAAAACATCTATAAATTATAGATGCACATAAGAAAAATACGTAATTTGTCATAATTAACACCATACAACTAATACATTATGAAGTTTAGATGGTTGGAGGCATTCTGCAGGAAGCCTTGGACTTAGGTTTTGTGCTAGTTGACACTCATCAGAAAGGCGTATCTGCAACCTTGAAGGAACTCATGTCCCTTCTGAGATTCAAACCCGCGTCACGCAGCGCTTAACTTCAACTAAGTTCTCATTAGCGGAAACGGAGACCAAACTTCATTCGACCTACTTCTCAGTTCAACTAGCTGGCCGTATAGGGCGAAATGCAAAGCCATTCAAATACCTGTATAGGAATGTGAAAAAACCGAAATTCTGATGGATTTATTATAATGTATGTAGATATCCAAAAAACATACCGTATTGTCAGGTGATTAACCTGCCAACGCTAGCATTGATGAACTAATGATTAAACTAAGTAAATGTAGTAATTTATTGTACTTGAAATATTAATATACCGGGATGACGGAATTATAGGAATCTAATCAAAACCCAGAGAGGGCAGCAATCAGTAATTTGTATTTAGCGGAATTAGAATGCAATTCATATAAGAAACATATCAACAGTCAACAGTAAGTATTTAAACAATACAGAGATAGAAATTGTCAATCACCACATCCGCCACACCTCGAATATCTCCTCGCGTATTTATAACGATGTCTCGGTTTGCTTGCAAGTAGCTTCGAGCTAACTGATTCTGTGATATTATTTTCATCAGTACTATCTGGACTTATTTCTGAATTATCTACAAAATCAGGATTATTAGCGGAATCAATAATATTATAATTGGAACGACCTACTTCATTTATTGTCACTTTGTCCAGGTGTCCGTTATGAACTGAGTGATCTTTGATGTCTAATATCTTCACCACTCGATTTCCCATTTTTTGTAGTATAATTCCAACAGAAGGTCTGTAGTTATTATCTTTGTAATAATGTACATTAGAAGTAGTGGACATCAGATGCTTTTTGAGAATTCGAGATTTGAATAGTTTTGCAGGACTTTCACAAGAACTTGTATGCTCTGGATTCACCAGACGTAGTCTATGCATATGCAGTAATTCCTCAATTTTATTCAGTTGCTCTCTCATCTCATTCAGGTCTTTTCGTGCTTTCGACAGTTCACATTGCAACTTGGCTACCTCATTTTTGAATACAGTTGATACTTGCGTTGCTGAACTTGCAGTGGAGGTTTTCGTTGGATTAGCTTGAGTATTTTGAAAAGTTGAAAGACACATAGACTCCATTTTACTAGACAGCTTGGGAGAATTATAAGAATGTTGAGCAACATAAGTACTCGAACTCCTGCAAACCGTCTTGATGTGTCCAACTTTACCACATTTATAGCACTTAGCACTCCGAAAACGGCAAGTGCTTCGTAGATGTAACTTTCCACAGGATAAACACGGTTTAATGTTTTTGATCTCTCGCTGCATTCTATTACCTGTGGACGGCAGTTTGGATTTCTTTCCATGAACACTTGTATTTTCGACTTTGGACAGCATGACATCAGATACTGACGTAGTGGGAGCAGAGTATTCATTATGGACATCTTCATATGTAATACATACCTCTTTAGCAGTTTGAAACGTACAAGAAGGAATCTGAATTAACTCCTTCTCTAATTTAGGAATGTTGATTCCAGCAATTAGACGATCACGTAGTTGTGTATGCAGCTGATCTCCAAAATTACACTTTGAGGCTTGAATTTGGAGTTGTAGTATAAAGTCTCTTATCTTCTGATTGGGAGAACGTACCAGTTTGTTGAACTGAGCCCTCTCTCTGGTCTCAAAAGTAGTTACATGGAAGTGATCTATAAGAAGTTCACGGAGCTTAGCATATGGCATAGAAATGGGTTTATCTGGAAACGCCAGATTCTTCACCAGGCTATATGCATCAAGACCAATAGCGGTGATGAAATGAGCAGGTATTTTATCATCCCGAACATTCTTGGAAATGCACCACGCATCAAAGCATTCCAAATAATCAGCAATCTCCCGCGGAGAACCATTAAGGGGAAATTTTCCCAGGTTACTTAGCTCCATCGCGACGCCAATTTGTAGTAATTTATTGTACTTGAAATATTAATATACCGGGATGACGGAATTATAGGAATCTAATCAAAACCCAGAGAGGGCAGCAATCAGTAATTTGTATTTAGCGGAATTAGAATGCAATTCATATAAGAAACATATCAACAGTCAACAGTAAGTATTTAAACAATACAGAGATAGAAATTGTCAATCACAACAGTAAACTCATGTTTGATAAGGTGGCATAGCGGTTAGGATGCTCGCCGACCATGCACATGGTCCGGGGTTCGATCCCCGACCGAGGCACTCCTTTACCTCACTAAGACAGAAATAGTGCTGGTAAAGAGGGACGGTTGGGTATGAGGCTAGCAACCCCATCATGTAAAAATAAACACTGCTACAGAAGCTCCAGGCTTCTAGCTTGAAGCCTTATTTTCCACTGGGGAACGTGTGGGAATGAACTGAAGGCCTGTCAGGGCAGTAGTAGTGGCCGGTTAAACTTGCTTCTTCTGCACACAAAGTTGTAAATGAGAAAGAAATTTAGTGTTTCTTTCAGTTAATCAGCCACAGACGATATATATATATATAGAGAGAGAGAGAGTAGTGCTCTTTCAATTGCCTGTACGTTGATTAGTCTATCAGATCAATACAAGCAGTTCAAGTAATCCAATTACTTCTCTGCTGAATAACAAAACTTCTATTGATTAGGGAGACAGATAACTACTTAAGGTGGAAAATGCCCTAATGTTTTGTACAAGGCCTTTCAAAATCGTCTTAAAGGGATATATTACACTGCACTATAGAATTATGCAGCCTAGTGTAACAACAGAAGACAAGGGCCAGGCAACAGATCGTTTTATTATGAAAATCAACACGTATTTATACATATTTCAACAACATTATTATAGACAAGCGCAGTCATCTGATTGGTTGTTTTTAGGTAGACAAACGCAGGCTTCTGATTGGTTGTTTCGGGATTCCTTGACAAATCGAGTTCTCTATCTGCGAATCACATTTTGCCACGTTAACTTTGCTGCGATTGGTTGTTGACTCAGTCTTGTTCATATTTTCTCACGGCCCATATTAGTGACCTAGACCTTAACGTAGATTAGTGCCAACCAATCGGCTAGCAGCCTGCTCTCACTACACTCGTCCCCCCGTCAAATACGTGCGACTGAAGTCGGCTTGATCTACTTGGTGCAGGCGTCATCGTTGGCTTGTCTCGCTGTATCCATTTCTGGAGCTCGCTGACGTTCACGCGCCTCTTATTGTTCGCCATTGCGACTGTGTCTGCGTAACCCCATCTCGAAGTGACCATATATGGTCCTTCCCACTTTGGAAACTGTTTGCCTGACCCTGTCGAACATTCGTCCATACTTCGGCTCACACTTTCATATGCTGCTTTCACCCGACCTCCCAGCAGCGTCCCAAGTAGCAGCTCCATCGCTGACAGATCTTGAACGCCACTCAACTGCGCAGAAGCCTTGAAGTCCTGCCCGAAGATCCATATGTCTCCATCGAAAACAGCAGGGCATAGGCTTTCCATTTGTCGGTAGGCAGCGACACCAAATGTAACAACAGAAGACAAGGGCCAGGCAACAGATCGTTTTATTATGAAAATCAACACGTATTTATACATATTTCAACAACATTATTATAGACAAGCGCAGTCATCTGATTGGTTGTTTTTAGGTAGACAAACGCAGGCTTCTGATTGGTTGTTTCGGGATTCCTTGACAAATCGAGTTCTCTATCTGCGAATCACATTTTGCCACGTTAACTTTGCTGCGATTGGTTGTTGACTCAGTCTTGTTCATATTTTCTCACGGCCCATATTAGTGACCTAGACCTTAACGTAGATTAGTGCCAACCAATCGGCTAGCAGCCTGCTCTCACTACACTAGTAGTTAAGAAGAAAACTTGACAAATTCCGTGATTACTGAAACTAAAAAAGTGTTTAATAAATGTTTGGTGCTAATTTTGAACTGATCAATTATGAATAAAATCTCTTCTGACCTTTATTTTTCTATTTTAAGACTATACGAAGAACTATTGATAATAAAACAAACGAACTGATAACTCGTTTTGGCAATTGTTTAAATCAAGTTAAAAAAGAAATGTCTCAACGCGTCTACACTGGTATACCATTACCAACTGAAGCATACTACAGTGGACAAGCTATCTACTGGAGATTTTTACGTCGTAGATTAGAAAAGGATATGTTGGTTAGTCATATATAATATTTATATCAACTAAAAGTAAAATACATGTTTCTATGTCATTCCAAAAGCATAGGATATGCATTAACTGGAATTTGATCACGTTTATTTTAATACACTGGAATAGTTTAGTGATATATCTTATATCACCCATCTTTGTATGTTTTGAAGTTAAGAAATACGTACGATACTTGTAGTTTGATGTCAACCAGAGATTAGACACTCAATGAATACTTAAATTTCAGCATAAGTATTTATGGTAGGAAGGACCAAGTCAAACTTTAAGCACCGCTAAAAACTACCAATGAAGTGCGATGGCACCAATGACCTTGAAAAGCTCACTGACCAAGTTAGTGAAACCTGACAAATAATGTTGTCATCATCAATAAAATATGCTCATCGAAGCGTTCTGTTATTAAATGGGATATCTGGTAAGTTTCAACTTAGGTTTTGGGGAAAGATTAAGTTATGGTTTAAGCCAGGGACAAGCTAGGGTTGGGTTAACCTAATACAGGCGACACCAGAGTTGGTTAGAGTTAGATTACATTTAGCTTAGGGATATTTTCACGTTAGGGTTAGGTTCAGCAAAGATTAGGGCTATTCTTAGGGTTAGAAGACCTAAATAATTACATGCATAGTATGTAGTTAAATTACTCTGTTGATGTAAGAATAGAACTTGTGCACTGTGGTAGAGTATAACTGCATTGTGGATAACATTTATTTTGATAAAGCCTCACAGTGTTATACAGTAATATTTACTAATGAAGTTTCAAGCACAATTTATTGTTCAGTAAATATTACTGCATAACACTATGAAACTCTATCAAAATAAATTTTACCCACAATGGAATTACACTCTTTTGATACTACAACCTAAAACTGAGAGCTTTTTTATTACATGTGAGAAAAAGGTATCCTCTGTAACACTGTTATACAGTTTTTGTGCATTTTATTTATAAATATATGTATTCCATATGCAAAAATGCCTCCTTCACCTGACTGGTGCATTCGAGGTCATTCTCTGATTGGTAGTTAGCGGTGCTTAAAGTTTAACTCTGCTGTAGAAAGGATCCAATGTAGAGTAGCTTTAAAGGTCATTCTATGAGCTAGTTTTCTCATAGCTATTAATTAGATTTCCTATTTTTGTTTACATAGCTAAATAAATCGATATCATTTCACCGAAAAATACCCATTAAGTCATGAAGAAAGACACTTCAGTGAAGAAAATTTTCTTTATCGACGAAATCATCTTCAGAGGCTTTACAGTCGTATTTATATTTACCAAAAATGTATAGAAGTCTATTACTGAGTAATAGGTAATTGGTATAACTACTGAGAAGTGGCTTCGAAATTAAAAATAAAAGTTACAAATTACGTAGTACTCACCGGCAAAAAGGAATAAAGCGTTAGAAATTTGACAACTGTAAAATTGTTATTGAGTGAGAAGAAAGGTAGTTGAGTGTTCATTTAACAAATGTGAAGAGGGTGAGGAAACGTACAAAAGTAACATGTGAGAGTGATGATACTGAATTTATTATTGAAGTAAAAGAAAACTAATCAAAAAAATAAAAAATTTACAGGGAGCAATTAACGAAGAGGTTAAGACTAAGGTAGGATAAGAGACTGGAAAAACGTTTTCTGTATAGAGAGTTCTGGGTTGTATTGACGAATTGCCAGCGCCTCCGCCACACACAAAAGCCGAAACCTGACGCCCTTTGTACCATTCGGCCTAACCTTGTAGATGATCTTGAAAGACGACTCTAGTGGAGCTGAGTGGCCTGAGTTCACCAAGTCCTCGAAATTTGAACTAGTAATTGTCTTGTATTGTCCTTTTGCTAACCATGCCGGATCATGTTCAGAGATGCGTTTGAAAAGTGTGCGCTTTGTACGGCCAATATAACTACCTCTACACGAGCAGGTGAATTTATAAACACTGATTGAAGTGGCTCAAAGCGGCAGTTTGTTCTTCACACATCCACTGACCATTTGTCGGCTGTAGAAACTGATCCGTAACTCAGCCGAAAAGAATGCTTTTCTCAGCTGCGGTATTACCTTAAGTTCAATGTTCATAAATAGCAGTTTCTTCGACACTGTCTGCGTTCTTTTGACCTATTGCTTTACTTTCATGTTTTTCTCGATGAATTTTGAAGGATATCCATTTTCCATGAGGACTCGTTTGAGTCTGTCCAGATCACCATTGACTGTATCACTGGTACATATCCTTCATATCTTTAAGGATAAGAAGCGGACCAGATTTCTCTCCATTCTCAAAGGGACCCAATTATGAAAATTCATGTATCGACCACTCTATGTTGGCCTCCTGGAGATTGATCTCTGAAGGGAACCGTCAGATCTCCTTTTCAGCAGAACGTCCAAAAAATGAAATTCTGAGTTCATCTCTGATTCCGACATGAACTTGATAGCATGATGGAAGTTTTTGAATTCCCTCGTTATCATCTAGATGTTGGCATTCTCTTCACTTATGATAAAAGTATCATCCATGTATCTTTGATACATATGAAAACTATCAATAATGGGTGGCCACATACATTTGTCATTTCAATAAAAAATAATATAATCAATCGGCTGTCAGCATCACAGTTGAATATCTTCTTGTTGTTGTGATGATTCTGCAACCAAGACCGATTTATTTTTCTGATATGTATTCATATATATATATAGTGGTCTCTCTTTCTGTTGCTCTCTTAGTCTGTGACCATTTCATTTTGATGAACCTGTCTCCTTTAACAATGTATATTCCATTTATATTATATATAATATGTGTGTTTGTTGACAGTCTGATCTTGGTGACATATATATATATATATCCACATAATGTGTGTTTGTTGACAGTCTGATATATTTTTCTATGTATATATGGATCGATACTCCATTATAATTAGCCAATCATGTTAAGACTGTCTATTGATTTGTTCACACACTTGTTTGGACATTCATATATATTTTTGCTCTCACACTCTTGTGTGATATTGATTCGCCTTGTGTTTGGAAAATAGAAGTATCATCGCAAACCTAGTGGTCTTCTGATTTCCGTCTTTCTTGCGTCAGGACTATTAAATTCTCGACCAGTGCATAACATTTTCAAACTTTGGGGATCGTGACTTGCAAGTAATTCACTGAGATGCAGTTGGATTTCATCATCTGTCCTGTAGTTAATATCACTAAAATATTTCAAAAAATTTCACATATCTGTATTCATAAAATGTATCTAGTTCTCCTGTGACTTAAGTAACGTGAAAGTAATTGGTTTTACTTACTGCAATCTTTTTTCTGCATGAATACAAGGTTTATTAAAGATCAGGATGAATACTATTTTATATTTGTAGTTCTAAATACCATAGTTTTCAACATCATGAGCAGATCTCACTGGATAAAAGTTGTCAACGTCTTAGCAAACAGAAAAAACGACACCTACATAGAACAGTTTACCAAATAGTATACAATTGGTGGATGGTGGCTAGCAGTGGAATCCAGGATGCGCATTTCGTCCTATTTGGGACTCGTCATCTGGATGTACCTGCATTCCTCAGTGAGTGATGATGTTCCCACCAAGGCTGGAACCCAGTACCCATAGTTTTCAATCAATTGACGGGAAAACCCATAATTCAATTCAATAATTAATATGACCCTTTGCACAAGAGGTGGCTCTCGTGGCCCAAGTGGTCTAGTGGATAACGCTTTGGCGTTTGAAACAATGGGTACTGGGTTCGAGCTTCGGTGGGAACGTCATCACTCACTGAGAAATGCGGGTACATCCAGTTGACGAGTCCCAAAAAGGACGAAATGCGCATCCTGGATTCCACTGCTAATCACCATCCACCAATTGTATACTAATCAAATACCCAGACATCGTCGAAGCATCTGCACAAGAAGCCGACATGTCAACCTGAGACCGAGCACTTCGGTCCAATCAATCGACGAGAAAATCAAAAAATTCAATTCAATAGTTTACCAAATAACGGAAAACCACCAGTCAGAATAATCTGATGGTAAAAAAAAAGATTAAATAATTAGGAAATCGTATTTAATAAGAATAAACTAGTTTTAAACAAGATAACGGTCTCTGATAAAATTGAAAAACATGATCGGAATAGAATTGTGAGCGTAGTTCGTGAACAGCACCCATGCCAACAAAGTAACAATCTGATTACTTTCTCACTGTCATTTTGTAAGCCACTAACTAGACTTGCCCACTGTTCATCTTTTTGCAAAAACTGTCAAAGCTATTCATCATTTCACAATGCCTGGCAAAATTAATACAGCAGTGTAGCCATTAATGTAGTTATGAGAGTAGTAGTAGAATTTGTGCACTGATAGACTATTAGGTAAATTTACCTGACATGGAACGCAGTAAATAGTGTTACTAATTCACTGACAATGCTTTACTCATAACCAGTTGCTCACAGTCGACTTATCATGAGTAACGGCTAGTCAAGAATCTTGTTAGTTGAGTAGAAAATTGATATTTTGGTATTCAGCATATATTTATCAAGATAAGTAATATTGTAACGTCAGAAGACAAGGGCCAGGCAACAGATCGTTTATCGAGAAAATCAAGAGATATTTATAGATTTTTATGTATATTATTATTCGTTATTGTTAGAAGAGAAGCAACATCTTCTGATTGGTTTGTTTCCTGCTGAAGTTATTCTGTCATCTCTCTGTTGCCGTTTCTTAATCAGCCCGTTGATATACTTGCTAATCGTATCCTCCCAAGCTAATTCTTCTGTGATTCGTTGTTGAGTTAGTCTTTGTTCTTGTTTTCATGACTCCGATTTGAGATGTAAACATTGACGTAAATGGCTGTCTACCACTATTGGCTAACAGACAGCTCTCACCACAATATTAATTAAACCCTCTTAGTGTTTTTACTATGACTTCTTGATATATATGCATCCAGTAACTCACAATGTGTTCCTCATATTTCTTTCCAAGTTAAGTCATTCTACTACTAAAGAAATGTTTCCGAAATCTTGAAAACTTTTAGTACTTTTAGTAAATCAGTTCACTCTTTGAAAACTTTTCTGTTATTCTTTGAAATAGTTAAATTATTTGATTACTAATAGAACGATGGACGTATGCATCAACTAATTTCTGATATTTGCATTGAAAATATCGTTTACCTATATAGGCTATGGATCAAGCATTTTTCTTACCACTATTTGAAGCTGGTTTAGGAGATCATCGTCAACAGTATACGCAGACTTCTGGAGCTTTAGAGGATTTGACTAGGAAGACATTTAACGAATTCCAAACAACTATTGAAGCAGTAAGTTTTTGAATCATGAATGTTTTCTCCTTTCTATCGTTTACTTACAAACTTTGACCTGACTAATAATTGATTAGAAATCTAGGCTGATGTGCTGAATATTCTAAGTTAGATTGAGCATATCAGTTTTAAAAAACTACTGGTATAAATAACTGGGAGAAATTTAGCTGTAACCAAGTATTACTTTGCCGATGATATATGTCTGATTTCCCACAAACTGGAAGATATGCAAGTGAAAATCAACAAGTTGTCAGAAGAAGCATCAAAGATAGGACTCCAAGTAGATATAGAGAAAACAGAGGAGATGAAGATTCTTGGCCAACAACAACATACAACAATCAGCCAGCACGGATGGGAGGAACCTGAAAGAAACAACCTCTTTCACCTACCCACCTACCTGGGAAGCATCGTTTTAAATACAGGTGGAACTGACGAGGATATCAAATCAAGGATCGGAAAAGCAAGACAAGGTTTCATTACTCTCAAGTCTGTGTGGAGGTCAACAGCACTCAGCATCAGAAATAAGATACGGATTTTCAACTCCAATGTGAAGTCAGCTGGTGCTACCGTATACGCATCAGAGACTTGGTGCGCCATAAAGAGTATCTCCAACAAACTTCAGACCTTCATTAACAGCTGTCTTCGCTCAATACTCAAGATCAGATGGCCAGATAAGATCAGTAGCAGGGATCTCTGGGAGCGAACCAACCAGGAACCGATTGGGTAACAAACACGCAGGAGTAAATGGAGATGGATTGGCCATACCATCAAGTGACATCACTAGGCAAGCCATCGCTCGAGTGGAACCCGAAACGAAAGTGGCGAGTTGGTCATCCAAGGGTAATTTCGAGGAGGTCATGTGAAGAGAAGATGAAAGCATGTGCGCAGACGTGGAGCCAGGTGAAAACTCTAGCAGAGAACCAAACGCAATGGAGACGTGCACCTGAAGCCCTATATTCCTCTAGGAATTAAAGGAAATAATAATAAGTATCACTGAGTCTTGGGATTTCGTTGTTGATGATGGTGAAGGCCCAATATTTCACCTAGGCCTATCCAATCATTTCACCTGAGCCTTAAAGTGCTTTAAGCTTTTTTTAGGGGATACTCATCCGAACTGGCTAGAACGCCATTTCACGTTACTTCTTTGTGTCATTTACACGGAGAATCTCTGAATCCTTAATTCAGTCATCCCATGTAGATAAATTCTAAAATCTATTCCCTGAATAACCTAAACTTTATTGTATTTAAATACACTACTCATCAGAGCATTTTACTAAATAGCTGAATCATTTTGATTTTCGTTTTGTTGACAGTATCTATAAGTCAGATAAAGTACTGATTTATTGGATAATTAGGCAAACTAAATTTAGTAAGACTGGTATAGTTTGGCTAATCTATAACACTACTATTACTTTGCAAGAGTTTTAGGCGTTGTATTTATGCAGCGCGCATTTTCTTCAGTCAATATATGGCTTACTTTTTGACAAGATTTAGAAATCAGATGTTAAGCAACCATCATCAGGAAATCATCAAATGATTTTGTAATTATTTGAATAATATTGATTTCATAATTTGCAAAATGAAATTCCCCAAACACATCGTCAGGTTTAAACTCTTCATAAAAAATGTTGACGATTACTTAGGGATTTTAGTTTCAGGACAGGATAGGATGAACTTGTAAGGACTTATAAGGACATCTAGTTACAATTACAAATTATTATCTGTGATAATCATAACTTATTCATATTTTTTTTCTTGCAAATTCATTATAGGATCCATTAAAATGTCTTGAATCATCGGTACTAGTACGTAGTCAATTGCAACCTGGTATGCTTGAACCAAATTTCAGTGGGATAGCACTTAAATTACTCAATGAATTACACCACTGGATTCGACTTGGCTTTGAACTACCGCCGAATGCAGCTGATGCTTATCGACGCAGAACAGAATTACGTTATCTTCTTGATCTAATATTAGTTGTTGTTCGAGATTATAATCGTATTATAAATTCACTGAATGAAGATGAACGTGCCCTATTTAGAGAACGTATAAAAATATTAGATAAAAAAATGGCACCAGGTTTAATAAAATTACACTGGACTGTTAAAGGTCTAGTGGAAATGTTTGTTAATGATTTTCGTACACAAGCGTATAAATTACAAGTGAAAGTTGATGAATACAAATCAGCTAATGCAAATATTAAAGATAATTGTGAACAAATAGCTCAAACATTATTGATTAAACTAGAACCAAATCGTGTTTATGAAAATACAGAATTTGATGACTGTCAGGTAAATTAATTGCTTTTCTTTCCTCAAACAGTATTAACATCAACTATTATTTTTTTTTAAATTGAATTTTAGATTTTCCCGTCCATTGATTAAACCGAAGTGCTAGGTCTCAGGTTGACATATCGGTGGCTCCTTGTTCAGATGCTTCGACAATGTCTGGGCATGTAATTAAATTTAATTTGTGGATGGTGATTAGCAGTGGAATCCAGATGCGCATTTCGTCCTTTTTGGGACTCGTCACTGAATGTACCTGCATTCCCCAGTGAGTAATGATTTGACCGTTGCACAAGAAGTGGCTCTCGCGGCTCCAGTGGTATAGTGGATAACGCTTTGGCATTTGAAACTGTGGGCACCGGGTTCGAACCTCGGTGGGAACATCATCACTCACTGGGAAATGCAGGTACATCTAGATGACGAATCCTAAATATGACAAAGTGCGCATTGTCTTGGATTCCACTGCTAATCACCATCCACCAATTGAACTATTACTTTATTAGAATGTAAGAAATATGAAGATGTAAAATTAATATATTACTTGCAATTTTGTTTGAAGTAGTATAGAAGGCAACAGTTTTATATTTTGTGCAGTTCACTGTTTTAACTCGGTTGAAGTAGTCAATGTAAAAGTGAGCCGACTACAAAAGTCACCCATACATTTCCTGATTTATTGATTCTTCTGTAAAGTCGAAAGAAAATCGATTTGATACTATAAAACACCATAAGACCTAACTTTCAAAATAGAAGAACCTGATTACAGTGTATCCTGTAAGCAACACTAAGATTTATCCAATAGAAAACTATACCTTTTTCACAACTTTAAATGGAGTTAATGGTAACAATAATGACATTAGAGGGGATAAAGTGCAGTGAAATAAAATCCACCAGAAGGAACATTATTAAGGTCAAAGTGCATTTTAGGTGTGTTATCGTGTGTAGACAATACTCCAGCTACACATAAGCGATCAAAACGTAAACACTTTGAGTTGGTTACATTTAGTCTAACAGATAACTTCGAAAGTTAGTGAATCATGGGAAACCCAAATTATCTGACTACAAAATTATGAGCTAATAGAAACTTTGTCATCTTATGTCCACCACTCATCCATCGAACTGGACAGTGTTCAACAATACGTTTCAAGAAAACGTGTTTATAATGTCTGGTGTAACCAGCCTCACTTGTTTACTTGAAACAACAGGATCACACAGATGTGACCATAAGTAGAAGTTTATCTAATAAGTAATACTGTTTCACTATTATTTAACATGCATAACTGCTTGTTTATTCCTTTCTGTTTCGAGTGGGAATTAAGGCTTCAAGTTTAGACTATGAAGTTTCAGTAGCGGTAGTGCCTTCTTTTGCTGGGTATGATTGCTAGTCTTATGTTCAGCCATACCTCTTTTCATGGTTTACAACCATCCAAGCCAGGTTTATAAGTCAGTGTGCCGACCAGAAATCGATCCTCGGATCACACTCATGGTTAGCGAGCATTCTACCGCTGAACTATTGATGTAGATAAGTGTGTTTCAATTCCATAGTTTGTTCATTAGATATATCACACAGTGAAACAGTATTATTTACTGGATGACACAATTTCGAACAAAATTTATCACTGTTCATAATCATGGCATCAATTATAATCACACAACTTCGAAACTTGAGTTTTATAGTCTTCTTTTTTCTCTCTTATTTGTCGTAGGGGTAGTAGAATTTTACAGATATCTAGGACAGTTGTTGATTCATTCGTATTACACGTGTTTGCAGTTGATTCGATAAATAAAGCTTCCGTTATCAATCTCTCCCTTCCCCCTGTGACAAGAAATTTTAAAACTGTCATCCTATCCTATCCTATTGTATGGTTGTGTGTAATTGCATGTAGTGAGTGGAATAGCTGAACTATTCTCTAGATTTCTTACCTTATTCGGGTCAACTAATCCAGATTTTGCTGAGTTTTTACGCTCCGCTAGCCTGACAATCACTCTGATAGGTTATTAGATAAACTAAATTGTTTTGTGTGATTGGCTCCACAGGATGCTTTAACCGACAAAGCTTGTTTCTAAATTAGTTTGTGGATTCGAATACCAGCCATTTTTGTTCCTGCCTTGTCAAGAATCCTGAATAAGGTTTCTGAGGTTCCTTCTTTGTATGGAATTACTACTGATGACTTATTCCCGATTGTTGGTGTTGTCATTATTCTACTACCCCTACAATGACAAATACAAGAGAACAAAGAAAACTATAAAACTGAAGTTCCGAAGTCGTGTGATTATAATTGATGGCATGATTGTGAACAATAATGAATTGTGTTCGAAACGTCATTCAGTAAATAATACTGTTTCATCACTGTGTGATACATCTAATAAACACAATAATATGGTATCACTTACTACCAATGTGCCCAAGATTTATACGTATATTAATAAATGTGATTTAGTTAAATATAATCCTGGGCAATGAAATTATCAAACATGACCACAACCACGTCAAATTTTTTTTCACATGGCAATACAGTTAATAGGAGGTAAATCTGATCGCATATGATAACTATATTTAAATAATCATTCATTTCACTAGAAATGTGTTACTTTGATTACAAACAGTGTAACTCTAAGAATATCTGAAAGTTCCATTTTTTCATTTTCCCTAGTTAACATATGTCTGTATTGACTAATTTTGTGAATAAAGAATTATTCGTAACTATTCATCTAATAATTTTAACAAGTTTTCAATGACTGATATTAAGTATGTATAGTGAATTGAAAATTCCAGCTCACTCCAGCACTTTCCCTCAACAGTAGGAAACGAATACGCATAGTATGTATCATATTCAAATCGATGTAGATACGGAACTGTAAATAAGCGCGTGATGGATTTGTAATTGCCGAAAGTAGGAATGATGCGTCGGTGGCATAGCGGTCAGGACGCTCGCCGACCATGCACATGGTCCGGGGTTTGATCTCCGACCACTGGATGCACTCCTTTACCTCGCTAAGACAGAAATAGTGCTGGTAAAGAGGAAAGGTTGGGCATCAGGCTAGCCACTCCATCCTGTAAAAATAAAGACTGCTACAGAAACTTCAAGCAAAGTTTAATTTTAATAATTTTATGAAATAATTCAGATAATTTCCACCTTAATTCTCTTTAATTATTTAAAAACTGAATGCAACTTTAGTCTGAACATAGAAGAATAACAAAAGAAAAACTTATTGCAATGCATGAAGAAATTGTTGAGAAATTACGTGAAGTCAAAGAAACATTTGTTTCTGAAAGTGCTGATATTCAAATGCATTGGACAAAGTAAGACTTATTGAGGTTATATTGTGTTTTATTTTTTTAAACAATTTGTTCACTTTTCATGAATTTAGACAAAGCAATGAGAAGACGTTAATTGTCTGAATCGTGTAATGTATATTTGCGCGCAACACATTTCGAACAATCTGATCACACACGGACTTGTCATAGAAACACATATGAAACTAACAGAGTTAAGAGGAGAGAAAACAGAATTAGGTCAAGTTAAAAGGACTTATTGAATGTCAAAATAACAATGAAGATCACTAAACCAAATAGCAGAGGTAATAGTGCATCTGCTATGGTATCAAAACAAAGTTTACCAAGGAGGGTTTAGTGTGATGTCCAATTGTTTTGAACGCATAAAGGTGGTTTAAACTTTCTAATTCCCAGCTATGGCTTCCACCCAAAACATTTTATAGACAGGTCTAAAGGACGTGTCAACATCTATTTTATGTTCTGTCTCTACAATATGTTTCGCAGTAGAGGAGCTAGGTCTCCCGTTCTCACCATTAATGGGTTCTGGGAATTCTGTTTGCTTCTGAAGCCATTTAGGAATATGCTCTGAAGCCCTTATTTGCAGAGATCGATGAGTCCTCCCTATGTATGTGCGGTCACACGCACATTCAAACTGGTAAATACAGTGGAATGTGACATCATTTTTCGCATGTTTTAAGGGCTTAGATGGATATATTGGCTTCACATTCTCAATTATTATGATATTAGCTGCATAAAAAATCTTTTAACCACACCGTTCAATCTTTCTCTAGTTGTTAAGCTGTTATGATCACCCATACAGAATAGCTTGATATATACGTCTTTCTTAGGGGCGAGTTGGAGAGTGGGTCTTGGTGTTCTGAGTGCTTTATGTCTCTTAATGAATCTGTCAGGATAATTATTATCAACCAGAGTTCGTGTCAACTTTCTTTCTCCCTCATCAAGTGTGTCTTTAATGCATATTCGTTGGGTTCTTCTACTGAAGAGGCATCTTGCTAAGGCCGAACAAGGCCAAAACTGTGATAATTAAGATACTATCCTGTCCAGTAGCTTCTCTGTACATAGATCTTTTTATTGACCCATCAATATATCTAGCAATATATCTAGGAAAGATAAACATTTATCTTCCTCTTCTACAGACGTAAGTGATATGCTATTCTGAACTTCATTCATTTGATTTAAAACTGAAATGGCAGAACAAGGCTTATCACTTATGATTTCAATTTTGTCTACATAACTTCTATAAAGTGGAACATTTTCAGTTAAATCCCCTCATTAAAGTTTCAATATACGACATGTACATATCTGCTAAAAGAGGCCCTAACAGACTTCCAATGGTAACACCATCAACCTGACAGAAACAATCGTCTTCAAATGTAAGCCTAACATTGCTAGTACACAGAAGTAATAAATCCTTTAAATAAGATATAATGAACGGGATGAATACGTTATGTGTGGAAATGTAATCACACAAAATGTCAACTGTTTCAGACAAGTCACGTCTTCTTATTGTTTTGTCTAAATTGTGTTTTTTTGTTGTTGAGAAATTTTGGATTTTAAAGATGAACATCATATGTGTAATCTATTCAGTTTGATTTACGCTAAACAAGACTGATAAAAATGAGAATTCATCAATGACCTTCATTAAAGTGTTGTTTAAATAATATACTCATATTTCAGAGTTAAACATGATGATATAAATTAGGCAATGTAATGAAAAGAATATCTCTTTTAATTGTGTATTCTCCATTGTGATACTGGCAAATATGAGCTTGCTTTCATTGATATTTTAGCTATTATGATATCTATGGAAAAATATCTTTCAAACTTTGCTTGAAAACAGGATTTTCTACTTACTTTTGAAATTATCTTTAATTACTAAGAGTGGGTTTAAAAGCACTTGATGGATTTCAAGTTTTTGATCAAGGATTGACTTTATTTGGAGAATCACTGAAAACCAGAAAATACTTGACAGTTGTTTCGTCCTTGTTCGGGGCTCTTCAAAAGTATACATATATGACCTCGCCAGAGATCGAACCCAGTACCTTCTCGTTAAAAGGTGAGCTCGTTGACTTATCACCTACTGGGACAGAATCCAATAACTAAACAATTCTAACTTCTTAAGATAATTGCATGAATCTTTAGAAGACAGATAATTAAATTCAGGTAGACAGCTTATAAAGAACAACAGTAAGATATTAACAGCAGATTCGATTGTTCGGTAAATTTTACCAAACATCATTGTTCATCTTACTAAGAAGAATCAAACAAAACTTCTTTGATATTGTTGGACATTTAATTTGATATATGATGGTGAGGTGCATTTAGATGTGGATTGGAAATATATTCTTTATATATCTGTTGTTCAAATTTAGCAGTTAGTTGAGGTGCAGTAATATCGCTTTAGATGATTATGAATCACAAATCGATTCGACATATAAAGTTGAATAAAGATAAGTCGACACAAAGTACAACAGAGATGAGTACAACATATGATAGGGCAAATATCCTATAGAATTGTGACGTTCGTATACAAGAAAGATAGTGTAACGGTCTTTTCTGATTACTACTGTATAAGCAGGATTGTATAACGAAGGAAATGAGATTGTCTTCGAAAAAGGACTTTCCTCCGCTTAAATCTTTGTTTTATCCTTCAGTGGTGAGATGGATCGGTCACTTGTTGAGGTGGCTGTCGAATAACATCACGCTTAATTCAATCCATCGCTCGAGTGGAATCTAAATGGGAGGCTATGAGTGGGTCGTCAATGCGAGGATGACATGGAGGAGATTGAGTGAGTAGGAGATTAGATATTATGGGCTATCTATGACCCAGCTGAAGAGGGCGGAAAAAGTAGAAGAAAGGGGTGATTTGTTACTGAACCCCCATGTTTTACTCGGAACCCAAGGGACTAATAATAATAATTCGATTTAAGTATACTACTCTCAGTTAACTTGAATATAATGCCATCTGTTCATGCTTTTGCAAACTTTGGTGAATAATAATACTATGAGTCTGTTGCACAATAAGAACTAGCGAAAAGATAGGCGTAATACTTTAAGTGTAACGACAGAAGATAAGTAAATTTGGTAATGAAATTATTTATTGGAAATACATTTGCCATGTATTAGAATCGGAGTTTGCATATATCTTTGGTACTGTGCTGCTGTGTCATCAGTAATGTGCTTCTTCGTTTTCCTTTTCTGTTTCCCATGTTGTTTCACAAACATCGTACATTCCTGCTCCTCGCCGTTAAATCCAACTCTCAGCTGTTCGATTTCTGGCGGATGATATGCATATTTTTATCTGCGTCTATATACTACTTACATTTCTTGTCAGTAGCCACACAGTCATTTAGTGAAGGTAAATCAATTAAACTAAATATAATTCAGAGTTCAAAATACAATGTAGAAATAAGCATTATGTTAAACAGAGAATAAGAATCACCAAGTATTGGCTTGTAGGGATTTGAGTGATTGGTTACAGGATTTCATCATAAGCTGACATTGGTTAGAGAACCACTGGAAAACCCACCTGGAATAACTGGACAGCTGTTTCGTCTCACTAGATCGGGACTGATCAGCAGTAAGCAACCAAAGGCAGGGTTCAAACCCATGACCTTCTCGTTACAAGGCTAACGAGCTCTCAGACCATTAGGCCAATGGGACCCGATTCATTGACCAGTTCATGAATTCAAAATGCTGCAAATTCACGATATAGCGCGACCGCTAGTCAATGTCTCAGGTTTACCAATGGTTCTCTAACTGATGTCAGGTCATGATGAAATCCTGTAGCCAACCACTCAAATCCATAAAATACAATACTTGGGTATTAATGAAATGCTCACTAGTGACTGGCCCTATTCAGGTAGATAGTTACCTGGGGTTCTATTGGGAAGCCGTGACCAGTAGGGTGCAGCAGGTTGGGTGTGAAGACAAACTCTCGCCGAAGACATTGGCTATTGGTCGCGCTGTGTCGTGAATCGGCAAAATTTGAAATTCGTGGGTCATTGGATCGAGTCCCAGTGGTTTAATGGTGTACGGTCTTGCCTTGTGACCGGAAGGTCCTGGGTTGTAACTCTGGCGGAGGGTGCGTACTGATAAAGAGTTCCAAACTAGGACGAGACAGCTGTCCAGTTTTACCAGGTGGTTTTCCAATGGTTCTCTAACTGATGTCATCTCATGATGAAATCTTGTCACTAAAAAGAATTACATTTCTTAGCATTATCACTACACGGAGTGTGGCGACTTGAACTTCCGCACATTTGTGCAAAGTTCTATGTCGAAAACAGACAGACAGACAGACTTCACGAATATTATATACAGTTGCTTTAAAAAAACTTTTTTTGTGCAGAAAATATTTATTTCATGCATTTTAAAGATGTGGACATCTTTTCTTATTTCTTATTTTAGATATACAGAAAAAATGGATCATTTCTGTGAAGAAGCCTTTCGAATAAACGTCAAGTCATCATTAAGTGAATTACAAAGAGCAATTAACGGTGATGGAAGAAATGATCCTAATCCTTTATTCAAAGTATCATTGAATTTAGACAATGATGTTTTAATATTCTCTCCAACTTTGGGTCAGTTAACACTTGTTGTAGCATCACTAGGAAGTAAATTCGCCGAAATTATCTCTGTTATCCCTCGACTACCCAATTTACTCAGCCGAACAAAATCTGCAAAACCAGTAAGTTATAAAGGAGAGAAACAGTAAACTCTTTTAAAAAAAGCTATATTTTTGTACAGTATTAACCTAGAATACTATTTATGTAGGCGCTTTTAAATAAAGAGTTTATGATAGTCATATAAATAAGAAGTTACAGTTAAAAATCTGACATTCACTGAATAAATCTGATCATCTATGCGATTCAGTTGAATTATGTTCAAAAGTTCGGCTATCTGAATTCCCCCTTTTTCAGTCGATTGTTTTAAGGCGTAACTACTACTGTGGTGACAGCTATGCTGCAAGGTAAAATTGTAGACACCAGTTTATATCAACGTTCACGCCCGAATTGGGGTCACGAGAAAAAACAATAACAAAGCTTAACCTTGAGGAACTCACCAACCAACCACAGAAAACTTAACGTACGCAAATAGGATTGGCAGATATATGGTCTAACTTTCTGAGAAACGGTCACTGGCAGTACAGAATAACCTTCAGCAAGGCAACAACCGATCAGAAGACGTTGCTCCTCTGCTGACAATAATGTACATAAAAATCTATAAATATCCGTTGATTTTCTCATTGAACGATCTGTTTCCTGGCCCTTGTCTTGTGTCGCTGCACTACTATTTCGAATCAAGTATTAGCTATCAGGAGGAATACAACCATATAAACTATTGGCAACTAATGCTGGTCGATCAATGTGGCTTGCATCCATTCACTTTAATTACTGATGTAGAATGCAAAACCTCTTCATTTTCATGCACCCAGTGCTTCATATATATATATATATATATATATATATATAAAGGGAAGTCTTCCAGTTCATTGCCTACTGAAGGTGGTGTCCCTCAAGGCGCTGTCCTTTCTTCTTTTCTTTTTTCTTTCTTCTTGCATGACTTGCCTCACTCTGATGAAATAAACTTTGTGAAGTACACTGATGATTTAACGGTTTCAATGGCTGTTAACTCCCAGATAGATTGTACCAAAATGAATAGCTTTCTATCGGGAGTCAGCAAATGGTCTGAGTCTAACGGTCTTAAACTGAATCCTTCTAAGTGTCAAACTGTTGATTTCAGCTTAAGATGTAAACGACAGTTAGAAGAAGTCATCGATTCTCATGACAGTTGTAAGATTGACGACAGTGATATAGGAATCAAATCAGAAATTAAGTATCTTGGACTTATTCTCTCTTCTGATCTCTCCTGATCTTCCCATGTCTTAGTGATCTCCAGTAAAATATTCCGCCTGACATTTTACATTAAGAAGTTAAGACACTCGGGTATAACACAACCCCTCATCTTACAGTTCATAAACTCTTGCATCCTACCTATTCTTCTTTATTGCTCACCCTTATTCTTTCCTGGTTTGCTTAAAAAAAGACTATGTCACATTTCGTAGAATACTGAAGACTGTCAGTAGGGGTGAGTGGTGTCCCAGTGGACCACATAGTTAACGTCGTTGTCGATAGGCATTTGACTTCATGCAATAAATTTGCTAATGGGATTTTGTCTGAATTGGAGCATCCACTTTACCCCCAGCTTTCAACTTGCATCTCCTCAGGTAGAACAAGGAGTAACTTCAGAAAACTGTATGCTCGCACGTCTAAGTATAAGAATTCTATGATACCATACTTGGCACGTATTTTATGTGATGAAAACAGTGTCAGGCAAGAACTAACTAGCCTTTTTTCATCTAGTAAATAAACAATTTCCTCCACCCATCCATCCTTATATACCTTCAAGTCTTACTTTTATTATTTCTATTATATTTATGGTCCTGTTACTTCTCTGTTTTCTTACTCTCAGAATTGCAAACACCAACTTATCTCCATGACGGCTGTAATCTTTGTTTTTCCCCTCACCATATCATGTAAAGAGAACATTATATTCAATATTTTTAAACATGTTAGGATTTCTATACCAAATTGCCAATACTGTGTGAAACAAGCCCACGGAAATTTTCACTTGTATTATTATTATTATTACCCTAGCTGTTATCATTATTATTGCTATTTCCATTTTATATGCTGCATGTCTTTGACACTACCTCTATTGTAAATGTGAAAAATTTTCTGTGTGATTAATTTTATTTATAATTTGAGGAAATTAGATGCAATATTGTGATTAATGCTGAAAATTCCATTTTGTATCACAAGTACTGTTTTTGGAATAAAGTAAATCATTATTATTATTATTATTATTATTATTATGTAAACATAATGGCTTCCAATAAAAAGACGGTAAACTTCCATCACATCTTTGCTTCCAAACATTAAAGTTTTAAACAAGAATTAAAAGGATTTGAAGGCATTAAAAATGACTACTTTGAGGTAATAAAACAGAATTAGTTTTCATTTATTTGTAGACAAACTAGAAATGTTTAAAGTGCATTAATTACTTTTAATATGATTCTGTGAGGAGACAATTTTTCAGAAACTTCGAACATTTATTTCCCTTAATGAATTTGAATAGGGCGAGAACAACAGTGGTTTGTGCATAATAATGTGGTACCATCATTTATTTCGTTGACTGCTTACAGCCTAAATAAGTTATAATTAATTAGTTCATGTACAGAAAAGTTTTAACATACTTGCAAATTTTATATGATGTCAGTTGACTGGAAGTTCCGAACTTAGTAAAGATTGGTTAGAAAATTAAATTTCTATAGCATAGTATTTATACACGCTTTTCTGTTCCAGAACTATCATTCTTACTATACGTTTAATGTGTTAAAATAAAAATTTATGGATTATTTACGTTGCAGTCCTCTGTGGAAATCACTGACACTTTTCCAAGTGTAAAGCTATTTAATCAGAAAAGAAACATTTAATAAGTACATTCCTGCCCTATCATTATTAGCTACAATGAAATTACATGAGCTGGTCTTCTCAAAAGTTTGACTAATTTAATATCTGTCTTACTAGAAAAGTAGTCCACAAGATGGCATGTGAAATCGAATTGTCAGAAGTTAAAATTCGTGCACTGACCATTGGATCGAGTTCCAGTGCCTTAATGGTCTGCGAACTCGCCTTGTAACCAGGAGGTCCTGGGTTTGAATCTCCTGTGGTGGGTGCGTACTGATGAAGAGTCCCAAACTAGGATGATGAAACAGCTGTCCAGTACTCCCAGGTTTTCCAATGGTTCTGTGAATGATGTCAGCTCATGATGAAATTCCTCCAACAAATTGAACATATCTTTAAAAGATCTCTTTTCACATCTTTGGAATCTTGAAAGCTAACAACTCTCATTATCTACCATAGATAAATTCAAAGTTTGTGGTGTAACAGGACAAATTATGAGCCAGATTCTGGCAGTTTTATTATATGGTGCCAGGTACCCGCATCATTCTGAAGTGTGTTTATCTAACTATTCCCTAAATAAAGACCTGGTATTTTCACCAAATAGCTAGACACACAAAGGCTTCACCTTTTGCTAGTTATTCACGTTCATTTAGTCATAAGGATAAACACTAACAGATTAGAGCATAGTAGATATCTATGCTATCATTTGCTTTTCTGAAGTTGTCTGTATGCAGGTCAAAGGATCTCATAACATGCGAAGGATGGATTTCTCAGATTCACCGTGTTGGGCATGTCTCATAGATACAACATGCATTTATAGATAAAAATCCAAAAGCTCCTACTTATGAAACCTGCAATCTGATTTGATTTAAAGTCTAAACCTCCAAGGTTCCAATATAATGTAGGAAGTGTTTTCTCCTTGTTTTAAGCCATTGAAAATGATGAAGGAACTGTATGGAGAATAACACTGAATATGGAAAGAGGTTAGATTTTAGGAGAGTAATAAGACTGAAATAAGAATAAATGATGTATACAAAAGCCTTACGTGTTTATGAAAGCGTTTAAGAAGTTGTTACTTCTAAACTACCCATGTTGTGAAAGTTGGTTTCTCTTTGGAGTACGTGTAAGATATAAATGACTAGTTTTGTATTGACCAAAATGCCTAGGAAACAACTGCTTGAGGTCACATGTGACTTATCTGAATGTAAAGAAATCTGTGAAGTTGCATATATGTGAAACGCCTCACCTCCAACTACAGACCGCTGCAGGGTAAATCGGTATGTATAACTGTTGAGGTCAACCTGAGCGGAAAATCAGCATTGTTGACTGCCTAACGGCAACACACTATCATAAATCTTATTCTCGTCTCGTTTATGTATACTACATAGAATGAGACTTCTTATTGATACATAAGCTCTTTAAATAATTGCTTGGCATTCCTTTGAATATCTTGATGTTGGCTGTTCACCCGTACAAACTGGCAAATTCAATTAAGTGGAAAACTAATGGTCGCTTGTACAGGATACTGGTAGTGTGGCTCAGAAGCAAAATATATAATACATTGGAATTTGGGACGACAGGTAGTGCTTTCAAACCTTAGCAGAAATTCTGTCGTTTATCCAAGTGTGGATAAATCCAGCTAATGAGCCTTAGTCAGGACGATATACATGGCCAAGATTCCATTTCGGTTTTTCATCAAATGAATGACAATTAAATAACTTAATCCCTAAATTAAGCGTTTTTATCATCAAATATTCCAAATATTTATTTTCTTTTTTTATTTATTCCATATCATCTAGCCAATAAGTGAAGTAATTGCAACAGATGAAGAAATTAATAAAATACAAGCCAGTATTAAACGTGGGATGCAAGAAATTGGTACAGCTGTTCATGAACCACTTAGTTATTGGGATCAATTTAGAGAAATTTGGGAGCTACCTAAAGATGACTTTATACAACGATATCGACAATTAAATCCTCATGTCACTTCAATTGATGCCGACATAGCTAGGTAAGATTATGATACACTTTTTACTTATGGTATCAGTCACACAAATAACTAACTAAATGTCATCCCCACCCCGTTACCTGTGTCTGACAGTTAGACTTTCGCGTAACTTACCAATTAAGCCTTTATGAACGCACCCCTTCCACTCATATCTTTGGAAAAGTGGCTCAAATCAAGCACTTCCTTCTATGCTTAATTCTGTTTCTACCATCTGTCGAATGAATAACAACTGTTTTGTAGTTATTACTGTTGCACTAATGTGATATTAATGCACATCAGATATAGACTTAGACTCTACGTCTTTAGTATTAACTGTGAAGATCAAGAAATCTGTTATCAGATTCAATCAAACATGCAGTAATTCCTCTACAAGCGCATAATACGCTGATTTGTAATATCTGGGGTCATTTTTACCAATTAAAAAGAAATCCTTTAAGGTCTAGTCCGTCGCTAAAATACTCATCAGAAAAAATCTTAAGCTTATAAATTTTCACGTGACAACATAATGCAGGTGTTAAAAATATTTTTTTTATTACATCTGCTTGCGATCATTATGACTACAATGAAATATTCCTTATAGTTACTAATGTAATTTAGGCAAATGGAGTATGGTCACAGAATTAACTCTAATTCAGCGGTAACTCATATCATAACTCTAATTAAAGGTAAAACTGAACTGATTTTTTTTTCTCTAGACAATCATAGATCATAGGGTGCTGAACTATGGAATACGATACTGCCAATAAATAATACAGGCCAAAATAACACTCTATTATGTCGCGAAACAATGTAGGTTTAAAATGCCTGAGTTAAAACGATTTTAGCTAAAGAGAAACTGAAGAACAAGCGTTTCTTACATTTAGTTAATTCAAAACAGTATCTAGGAAAAATATGTATGACTATCGAGACAAAAATAGACAGAAAGAAACATATCTAAATTGCAAAGTTGAACAGAGTTGAATGTTGTATACGACTGATAAAATTCTCTAAGGGTTCTCAATGAATTATTTTATTTCATCAAGAGGGTTGAATGCATGAGACAAACTGACAACAGTTAAAAAGAAACAACTGTTCCCAAAATTGCAATTTAATGGGAACGTGGCTAGTGAAGTCTTACATCTAGGACTATCGAGAGCAATACAATGGACATATACTGCCGTCATCCTTTGTTTGTCATTTTCCACCCGACCAATTATGATTGCTCAAGCGAAAGGCAAGCTACCTAGTTGTGTCACTTCTATGTGTATCTACAAATTTAGTTGCTCCAGAGGAGAAAACTATATAGGGTGAACAAGTAGACAGCTTAACAAACGCAATAATGAGCATCTTCCTTCATGGTTCGGAAAAGGCCAAATAGAATTCATCAGAAGTTCTATTTTGACTCGTTTGATTGATAGTGGTCACCAAGTGGACAGAAGTAGTGCCTTCAAAGTTATTTATCGCATTCCATCAAGCCTTTCAGACTGAATTCGTACCCGCCTTTTACACAGTGGTAGCTATGGGAACTTGAGAGGACAATCCTAGTCTTTGCATGCAAAAGAAGTTTGTTCTACCTTTCCATTATGGGTAAATTTTTGTTTTGATAAAGTCTCACAGTGTTATACAGTAATGTTAACTGATGACCACGTTTCGAGCACAATTTATTTCTGCTCATAATCATATCAAGGTCATGCAAACACGAGATGAAAGCCTGTGGGCATACGTTGAGCCATGTGAAAACTTTGGCTAAGCGATATTACACTTATTTGCACCGTGACAATGCATACTTTGTTACTTATTATGCTATAATATAATTTATTAATTCATCTATTCTTCAAAGCTTTCAATCACTATTGTTTTTTTCATTTCATTTAGGTATACAGAAGTAACCAATAAAGTGTTGGATGCTGAAACAATGGTTACAACAAAATTTCTTCAACTGGATTTCAGTTTACTGAAAAATGCAATAGCTGCTCATTGTAAAGATTGGCAATTACGTTTGATAAATCTTCTATTGTCAATGACAACAGATTCATTGAATGGAATCTACACTTATATGAATAATGTTCAAGAAAGGTGAGATACATATATATATATATATATATATATATATATATATATATATATAGTATCAGTTGTAATGATAATAGCAAACATGTTGATTTATGTTCATTCGCATGGAATCACTCAATTAAGCACTAACAACCAACTAGGTGAAACTGGAAGTATTGTATTCAGAAATGAAAAATGGTAATTAGTTTGTAGACAAAATCACAGATGCAGTGATTCTTAAGAAAATCAGGCTATTCATGATATGAGAAACTAAATCCCCTATTAACACAGTGGGGTACGACAACTTTGAATTTATAACGGATATGAAACTGTTTTAGCAGATAAAATTACCACTAGAAGTCTTCTCACTAGTTGCCTATGCGAAACTAGCTTTCACTCATAACCTAGGACCGTCATATCAACACGGTGATTAAACTTAAAAATCATTTGACACACTGAGTTAAGTGTGCTAAAACTATTACCCTTTTCGGTATTTCAGAGTTAGGTGATATAATATGGTCATTAATGCTGAGGTTAGGCGTAGAGTGTTAGGAAAGGAGAGGAATTCAGTCAAACAAGGTTGTGAAGCTGACCCGACTAAGATAATTAGGACGCGTGTTAAGCATGCCAAGTCAAAGCCTTCTTCATCTAGAAATGTGAAATAGGATAGATAGTGAAATAGGATAAAGTTGGAAAGGAATTAAGGGTTTGAATAAAGCGAGAATAACAGTGGTTTGTGCAGAATAATGTGGTACCATCGTTTATTTGGTTGCTTCTCATCAGCTGCTCACAGCCCAAATAAATTATCAAGTTTATGCACAGGAAAGTTTTTACTCACTTGCAAGTCTTACATGATGACAGTCTAGAGGAGGTTCCGGAATTAGTTAACAGTGCTCAGAAAATTACGCTTATTTAGTTTTTACAGAGGCAGTTGAATTTTAAAAAAAGTAAATGTATGCAATGGTAAGGGAGTTACGGAATGAAGACGACAAATGCGTGAGATGATGAGTGACTAATAAATTAGGTAACAATGTATAGAGTTTAACTCAAATCATAAAAAGAAGAGACAAGCAAAATTACAAATTATAAAAGGGGATTGAGGTTAAAGCCAAAGATTAGGTAATCAAATGGAAGAGAGAATAAAGACGTCCAGTTACCAGAGCAAGGAAAGACTGATAACTGCTTCCTTCTAAACACATAAATTGGGTTCAAGTTTTTGATAGAAATTGCTTCGGCACACTCGAGGAGAATCGAGGTATTTTGTCTGTTGATAATTTTAAAGGATTTCGCGATTTCCACCTCATGACCCGTATCGAAGAGATGCCTGATAATACCGCTATTATAAGAGCTTATTCCCTTGAGACGTGGGCTTTTCGGTACAGGTTCAAGAAATCCGAGGCGTGCCTTTCTTTCTGCTCCCGCAGATACACGTAAATTTAATATATACAGTTGGAGTCAACATGAGAAAGGTATTTATCGACTTTTAACTGCATCAAAGAGCATACTGTTCGATGGCCAGGAACCAAACTATCTGCACGATAGGCTATGGCTAGTGATGTACTCGGTTTTCTGTTGACTACAGCTGCAATATTTTCACTGTTAAAATCTAGTTGAATGAAGACAGGCACTTTTCCCACTGTGATTTGTTTGATGTTTGAGCCTTCAAATCTTCCATATTTGTCAATGAATCTTTGAAGGTAACCATTGTTTTTCAACACCGTTTGAAGAATCGTAAGTTCTTCCACTAATTTCTCTGTAGAGCATATTCTCCTAGCTTTAAAGTACTGAGTCTTGACTAGTGCTCGTTTATAACTATTTGGACAAAATTCCATTTTTTGTAAATTTTTGTTTCGATAAATTCTCACAGTGTTATACAGTAATGTTTACTGATGACGTTTCGAGCACAATTTATTACTCCTCATAATCACATCAAGGTACTCACACGACTACCTAACTTCATTGATATAGTTCAATTATCCTTCACTTGATTTGATTGGCAGTAGTATTTTCCATATTTCAGGTATGGGTGATGAATCATTCCTATTGCATGTGTTTGCTTCAGATGGGGACATCTGAAACCCTACGTAGGATTCTAAATAAAGCAGGAATTAGGGTGGCATTTAAACAGGGAGTAATTTAGTCAAAAGTTCAGCAATCGCACTTCACTCATAAACACACAACCACACATTAAGGTGTGTGTGAGAAGGTTTAATTTCTAAAAAGTAATCAAGATAGATGGAGAGAGAGGTTGATTACTGAATCCTTGTTCATCGATTCTACACCCAACACATGCGATTGGAATGATTTTTCACTCATACCCGAAATATGGAAAATACTACTGCCAATCAAATCAAGTGAATATCAAAGGAAAAATAATGGAAGTATATAAATGAAGTTAGGATGTCGTGTGAGTAACTTGATGTGATTATGAGCGGCAATAAATTGTGCTCGAAACGTGGTCATCAGTTAACATTACTGTTTAACACTGTGAGACTTTATCAAAACAAAAATTTACAAATAATCGAAGTGCTACACATTTGTGCAAGGTTCTCGATAGTGAAAATTTAGTTCATTTCACAGACTTAAAAAGAATAGGCTATATATATTTAGAAAGAAGAGAACACGAAGTTCAGCAAAGATGGTGATCTTTTCGGCGATTTCATTCTCAAAAGCTGTACAATCGCATTTATATCGATTATTTTAAATGGATACAATTATTATCTGTTTAATTTCACATAGTAACGAAGGTGATAATAATTTTCAACTTGATATGATAGTTTGAAGGTACGAATGTAGATTACAAGGGGCTTAGAGACAAGATTTCATAGGATTAGAAAATAGTTACAACGTATGCAAAAAAAATTAATATTTCATAACTGGAGAAATAATTTTAAAGGGGAATCAAAGGTGATAATTATTTTCGACTTGATATGAATTACAAGAGGCTTAGAGACGCAGGGATAGAACGAATTACAGGTGTGAACAAAAATGAGCATGGAAACAAATTGAAATCAAAATTTTCAACTTGAAATGTTAGTTAGGGGGTATGTGAATATAGATTACGAGAGGCATAAAAACAAAAAAATTACACAGGATTAGAATATAATTGTTATAATTGTTATAATTATTCTTTCTCCATGAGTGCCTTCGTCATTCAATCCTACCAAACAGTGTAAGATACAAGCCACCAGTCAACTGCCCAATGGGATGGAAATTGGCCGAACAATGTGGAAGACGAATGGTCAAATTAATGATTACGGACGCACATTATCGGATCAACAAATATCAACAAATAATAGATGTCCAAAAAGCAAAATTAGAGAAAACCCTCAACCAAGAACACCTGTCAACGCTGATCACCGCAATTTCACTGTCAAGTGGAAAACACAGAGAACAAAGACGAAGAGTCCTCAAAACCAAGCTAGCCAAGATTAGAAAACAACAACCAGACAATACGCCCATAGACTGCGTAGTCAACCTATCAAAACAACCACTATCAAAAATGGAACAACAACTACTACAAAAAGGATTAAACTACAACACCGGAGATGCTTCAAAAACTGATTTCTTCGCTGCCCTTGAATCATTACTCAAATCATCAAACTTGAACGAGGAAACACAGGAAGAGATACGCCAAACAATTGTACCAATGGTCAAACAGAAAAGACAACACACACAACTCAACTCTCAAGAACTAAAGGCCCTCAAAAAGCTGAAAAATAGGAAGGACATCGTCATTTTACCAGCCGACAAAGGAAGAACAACAGTAGTCATGGACAGAGAAGAATACACCAAGAAAGCTGAAGAACTACTCAAAGATGAAGATGTATATCAACAACTCCCAACAAATCCCATACAAACATTGGACAACCGCATCCAAAGGACCTTAAACAAGCTCAGCAAAACTGGACAGATCACAAAACAAGACCAATGGCGAATGAAATCCAATGGACCAGTCCTACCTCGATTCTACGGCAGACCCAAAATACACAAGGCAAATATCCCGTTACGACCAATTGTATCACTCCCAGGAACTCCAACATATAATTTGTCCAAGGAATTATACAGAAAACTAAAACACCTAACGGAATCCTGTGATCACTCCATCAACTCTGCTATCCAATTCCTAGAGAAAATCAGAGACATCCAAATAGATGAACAAGAAATAATGGTATCCTTCGACGTGACAGCATTATATACCTCTATCGGACAAAAACTAGCAAAAGAAACCATGGAGCAATTACTTAGCAACGACGAACAACTTCCACAACAATCAAAAATGCAACACACAAGCTGGATGGAATGCATAAATCTATGCCTAACAACATACTTCCAATTCAACGGCCAAATATATGAACAAGTCAAAGGAACACCCATGGGATCGCCAATATCAGGTTTGATTGCAGAAGCAGTGATGCAAAGACTCGAAAACATAATTCTACCAAAGATCAAACCCAAGATTTGGATACGCTACGTCGACGACACATTTGTAATAATCAAAAGAAACGAATTAGACAAAACTCACAACTTAATAAACAACGTCTTCAACGACATCAAATTCACAAGAGAAGAGGAATCCGAGAACAAAATACCATTTTTGGACGTCTTAGTCAGGCGAACAACTACAGGAGAATTAGAAACTCAAGTTTATAGGAAATCAACTCACACAGACCAAATACTGAATTACAACAGCAACAACCCAATAGCACACAAAAGGAACTGCATACAAACACTATTCAAGAGAGCAAGGACTCACTGCAGCACTCCCACCTTAAGAAAAATTGAAGAAAAGTATCTCATGGACGTCTTCCAAAAGAATGGATATCCCCGGAATTTCATCAAGAGACATATACCCCCAAGCCAACCTACCAAAACAAAAGCCACCAAGGAAAACACAAAGAAAATCGCCTTACCATATATAAAGGATATCTCAGAAATCACTAAAAGACTCTTCAAACCTTTAGGAATTGACGTCGTACACAAACCAACAAAGTCGCTGCACTCAATTCTATGTCAACCAAAAGACTCAACAGCAAAAGAAGACAAAACCAACATCATCTACAAAATAAACTGTAACAACTGTGAAAAACACTACATTGGCCAAAGTGGACGTCCCCTTCGTCTTCGTATCCACGAACATAAGCTAGCCGTCAAAAGACATGATATACACTCCCTCATTTCACTACACACAGACAACCACGGACATCAATTCGACTGGGACAACGTTCAAATATTAGACAAAGGAAATAACAAGAATGCTAGAGAATTTTTAGAAGCTTGGCATTCCAGTGAATCATCAATCAATAGACACATCGAGATAGACAAAATTTATCAACCAATAAGAAAGAAACTTCACACACGATTGGCCAAAGTTCAAGTCACAGAAACAATCAGTTCCAACACAAGTAACCTAGAAGGTGTGAAAACATACATAAACAACCAATCACGTCCAAGGTCACCAGGAGGAATGATTAATAAACTCGTGGAGAAACCTAAAAGCTCACTTCAATTTGAAGTATGCGCTGAAGATGTCACCCAGTAAGGTGATGAAAGCTTCGCAAACTAACTATCCAGCTCAGAGAACAAAACCACATCAAAATTATCCACCTGAGCTACAAATCTTCTCTATCATATCTAATTGTAAAATGGTTATTCTAAACGGATTACAAGTGTGATCAGGAGGAGCATGGAAACAAAATTAAAATAACTAGTTTTATAACTGAAAAAATAATTTGAGCCTGAAATGAAAGTTAGGACGTGTGAATATAGATTACAAAAGCCTTAGAAACACAAAAGTTGCACAGGATTAAGATATAATTGTAAAATAGTTATTTCAAACGAATTAAAAATGTGAACAGAGTAAAGCATGGGAACAAACTTAAAATAACTGTTTTTTTATAGCTGAAAAAAAAGTTAGGTAGATCAAATGATGATTGAGGGACTAGGAATCAGACACACAGCGAACGAAAAATGCTGTAAAGGAAAAAGCGAGAACGAAAACAGACGAGGAAGAGAGAGAGAAAAAAAAAGACGGAGACAAAGGGAACATACCAAGCTAGGTCCATGGTAGTTGTAGGGGTTGGACTAACTTCTTTTGAACACACAGCTCCGGCTTCTCGATGCATATTGCGAGGGCTTCTGCAGTACAAAGAAGTCGGAAACATATTGCTCTTGGTAGGTTTCTGTTGACTTTGTAAATCACTTTGAAAGAATCGGATGAGATTTTATGGGAGGTGCTGACCAGATGTTCAATAATTGCACTTCTGATTGAACCGATGCCTCCTCTTTGCAGCCACACTGGGTAGTGTTCTCTAACACGTTTTGTGAGGCCGCGCATACAACGACCTATGTACCTAGCTCCGCACGAGTAAGTGAACTGGTATATGCACATTGAATTGGTCATATGCGAAAGTTTGTCCTTCGTGTTGTTTCGAAGTATTGGACGGCTAGAGAATATCACTCTTAGTGTTGCTGCAGGAAAGGTCTTCTTTAAAGAGCTGGATATTCTCCTCTTCAAGATATCAGCTGCCAAATCTCCCTTGAAATTCAGATTTAGATGCAGCGTTTTCTTTGGCGTTGGATCGCCTTCTTCTCTTTTAGGTTTAGGTTTCATGTTCTTTTCGGCAAAACGTGTCGGGTAGCCATTTTGAGCCAGGATATTTTTGAGGAATAGGAGCTCCTCTTCCATGCAATCGTTGCTGCAGATTTTTCTAACGCGATGGTTTAGTGAGCTGATGAGGGCTCGTTTTCGGCTCAGAGGTATCCAACTATAGAAATGCGTTAGTTGGCCATTCCATGTCAGTTTCCTATGGATGGACCTCTTCAGGGTTCCATCATCTCTTCTTGTCAATTCCACATACAGAAATGGAATCTTTGAATCGTTTTCTAACTCCATTGTGAATTTAATCGAAGGATGGGAATTATTGAATTCTTGTAAGATGCAGTTGTAGTCCGAGTTATCGTAGCAGACTATGAAGGTATCGTCAACGTACCTTTTGTATAGTGTTAATTTGTTTATTGTTGATTTTAAAACTCCACTCTCCAAACTGGCCATAAAGCAGTCTGCTAAAAGCGGGCCAAGAGGAGATCCCATTACAATTCCATCTTTCTGTCTGTAGATGTCGCCGTCGAAGGTGAATTGTACATTCAGCGTGCATCTCAGCAACAATTCCTTCAGATATGATATTGGTACTCCGACGTTTATATTAGATTTCTCCATATAATTGCACAGAGAGCAAATTGTTTCTGTTAGTGGCACGTTGGTAAAAAGAGATTCAACATCTAGTGGTAACATTCGTTTATCATTTACATTTAAATCTTTTATGCATTCAATGAACTCAAAAGTATCACGAAGAGAGTATTTGCATAGGTGTTGTCTTACCGGCTCCAACATTTCGGACAACCATTTGGCGATTGGATGGTATGGTAACCCTGACTTGTCTACAATCGGTCGAAGCGGCAAGCCAGGTTTGTGCGCCTTTGGTAAGCCGTAGAGTCGGGGAATAGTTGATCCTGTTGGTTTGAGGCGGTAACCTATAAGTAACCTATATCGTCACCTAACAAGTAACATGTCATGGATAGGTCATTAAAATCCATGTACTATATTTCCCTCTTTTTTCCTTAACCCTTTCTAACGCTTCATTCCTGTTGTAATTTATTTTTCAGTAATCATTCTGCAACTCATCTCTAAATGTAAGAACTTTTATAGAGGAAGATCTGAGTGACTTTCTTTAAAAGCTGAAGTCACTGTATCGCTAATAATTCGTCCACCCTCCTGATAGGTCATTAGACCAGTGTAGAGACTCGTATGAAGATTAAGTTATTCAGATGACTAAATACACAAACATGTAATCAGATGCTTTCGTTAACAAATTCTCCCCTCCTCACTTCATTTTAGAATACTCCGACCACCACAGACCTTAGATGAACTTGGTAATTCGATTCAACTCTTAGAACAAATTTTATCTGAACAAGGTGAAATTCAAGCGAAATTCGGTCCTTTAGAAGAACAATTCGCTATTTTAGATAAATGTGAAGTAACCTATACAGAGGAAGTATCAAGTAGACGAGCTAATTTAGCCAATGATTGGGTACAATTCCAAAGTTCATTGGCGTCAGCTGAAATGGTAAGCCTGTAGATTTCTTCATATACAGTCTTTTATATTCTTAATTAAACAAAGCAGCTTATACTACTTATAATTCGACAAAAGAAGGTGATTTAGTGCAGAAATATTATTATTCCATATAATGAACGCTTCACTTTTTTCATTTTTATTTTATTCTTTTGAGTTCCCAGTGGAACATCGAGCTAGAAGCTAGAGTTTTGAAGTTTTGTTAGCAGTGGTCTCAATTTTACGGGGTGAGATTGATAGTCCCACGCCCAACCTCCCCTCTTCGCCAAGATTATTATCAGCTAAGCGAGGTGTGGTAGTGCTTCGGTTGGGGATTGAAACGCGGACCACTTGAGTGGCTGGTGAGCACTCTACCTCTGCGCTAATCACGCAATGAACACTTCTACTTTCGTCTATCTTAACACCATTGAATAAAGCTCCGAAGAAAAAGACAAACAACTGAAATAATATGAAATCGATCTTAGCTTTTGATTAAATCATTTTGTCCGGTATTTCACCTACTACATGATATAATACTAACAATCAGCCTCAAGTCTCATTTCGGTATCTCATTCAGTATAAAAGGTAGACAAACAGGAACACTTATCTTTTAATAGTTGTCCTCATAAAATATATCCTACTGTCTTAAAAACAATATTAGTAACTTTATTCTGGACAGCGTTTATATAATATACAGAATTCTTTGCAGAGTTTATTGCATAATACTTTCTCTTGATACATGATGTTCAGATTGAATATTAATTGACAGTAGATCCTGTGACACAACTTCCTCTGAGATGAGGCACAAACCAATTCATTATGATATTTCTTCATATTAAATATTCCCATAGTAAAAATTTAGAACAACACATTTAAGCGAAGAATGTTGTTTTCCATTAGATCTTACTAGGCTTAACTCTAATATTTACAAGTTTACAAATAAAAATTCAAATATAAACCAATCCTGGTGTTTTGTCTATAGGATAATAAGATGGTGAATATAAATTGTGCAATAATAATAGTCATAATAGTAATAGTAATAATAACAATGGTCTTATCAACAAGAAGGATGAAAAAGTGAAGCAATCTGTGATAACACGAGTAATGAAAAACAGCATAATTAAACAAACAATTGTTCAGGTAGACATAGTAGTTGATAAAGGCCAGTAAAAACAAATGAACCGATTAAGTGATGCTAGATTGTAAGGCAAGTAAATGAAACACTTTTTAATGAAGATGTGATAAGATTAAGGGATGATAAGAGAGGGGTTGAAAATATAAGTAAGGGGTGGTGTAGAAGTCATTAGTTGGTTATGTCTTAATAGGCCAACAAGGGAGGAATAATGGCTGTACGAACTTCTTTTGAATGCATAGTTTAGGTTTAATAGTTCGAATGCATACCGCCTGACTCAGCTGTATGCAGTAGACGAATACGAAGTCTGTTGGAAAGATTCGGTGGGATACGATGAATTACTTTGAAGGCTCTCGTTTTCTCCACTACATGACCACTATCAATTAAATGTGACAGAATTGAGCTACGGATTGTTTTTGTCTATCCTTTGCCAAACCATGATGGGAGATGCTCACTAACACGTTGGTTAAGCTGTCTAGTAGTATGCCCAACATAACTGTCACCGCAGGTGCAGTTGAATAGATACAGGCACATAGATGTGGCGAAACTATCAAGCTTATCCTTCGTTTGCGTCCCAATCATTCGTCTGCTAGAGAATGACAAACATAGGTGTGCCGCGTAAAATGCTCTTCGTGTACTCCTTGAAAGTCTTTGGAATAAAACCTCACTTCTTCTTTGTCTCCTTTGAGAAATGAACTATATTTGGTTGAAAGCCAAATGTAAAATGCTCAGGAGGCCCAGAAACAGATGTCTCATGCTCCTGACATTTATGCTTTTTTCGAGTTTGGTAAAAAACGACGAATCAGATGAGAAAGTTGTAAATGTTTCAAATACTCGCTAGAGTAAATAATGCCACTAGAGGTCATATTTTCTTAGGAGAAATTATAGGCGATAGAATGATGAAGGTTTTTGGTAGCCTAAGTTTTAACCAGGCCGTCATACTTCAGATCAATCACCATGAAGTTTCACTGAAGTTTAAGAAAGATACGAAAGCACAACAATCATTGAAGGACGTGTTATGAGAATCTGCTATGAGTTTCAATAAATATTTATCATATTCTGTCCTATGCTGTCTGAATGGTATTTATGCTTTATGTCTTCATTTCATGTTTGATAGATGATTAAAAAATCAAAAGAGAAATTCAAAGTTGGCCTGCTAAGTGATACAGAAGAATTTAAGCGTGCTGTATCACACCTTTTACAAGATCTACAAACGAATGGACCATTTGCAGCCCACCTTCAACCACAAGAGGCATTAGACATTCTTAATAATTTCCGTGAACAATTAGATAATCTTAAGAAACATGAACTAGAATTACGTCATGGGTTGAATTTATTTAAAATAGAACAACCGCCATGTAAAGAAATTGTTGTAATTGAGAAGGTAGGTATTCATTAGTTTATAAAGTATATATATATATAAGCTATTCATTTGTTTCATAATAGATTTTGTAACATTGATCAGAATTCGACAATTGATGTACGTCGAACAGTGCAGTTGCCATCAATGAGAACTGTTTTCATAACTTTTCAGATGAAGTTTTTCGCTTAAAGTAATTTTGATAGATGATGACTAGCCGTGGAATCCTCCAGAATACGCACTTCATCTTATTTGGGACTCTTCACTGGGTGTACCTTCATTCCAAATGAGTGGTACCTGGTTTTCCCACTGAGACTGGAACTCAGTGCCTATCGTTTCATATACCAAGGCGTTATTCACCCTTGGGTCACGAGAGCCACCTCTTGTAAAACGGGCATCAGTTATCATTTGTATTTAGTCTAATTTTTATTTCTTCATTAAAATGACTGGACGAAAATGTTTGACCTCTGTTAGAATGTCGACGCCCTAGTACGCGAGGCTTTGACGATTGGTTGATAATCAACTTGAAGTAATTCATTAGATGGTAACTAACAGTGGGATTCAGGATGCTAATTTTGTTTTGTTTACTATTTATAATTTAATATAAGTGATGACTATTTAATTCAAAATTAGATTTTCCCATCGATTGACTAGACCGAAGTGATAAGCCTCAGGTTGACATGTCGGCGCTCCTTGTGTAGATGCTTCGAATATGTCTGGTCATGTAACTTGAAGTCACTTGGTGGATGGAGACAAGCAGTGGAATCCAGAAGACCGAGCACTTTGGTCCAACTGATCGACTTGAAATCTGAATTGAACTAAATAATCAGTAAGGCCCGTTGCACAAGAGGCGGCTGTCGTGGCCAAGTGATCTGTTGGATAACGCTTTCGCATATGAAACTATGGGCGCTGGTTTTGAGCCTCGGTGGGGGACACCATCACTCACTGAGGGAGGCAAGCACATCAGACGATGAGTCCCGAACGGAATGAAAAGCTCATACCGGATCTCATTGCTAGTCACCATCCACTAACTGACTATAAGTGATGACCATTGAAGTTATTATAAATAGTAAAATAGATTTGGTATAATTTACGTTTTATACTCAAACCTATATTTATATTTATTATGTTATTATTCTCTTGGATTCCATTGGGGCTTCAACAGCATGTCTCCATTTTATCTTGTGTTCTCTACAGTCCTTTTTATCTGACATCACAACTGTCCATAAGCTTTCTTCTCCTTCCATATTAAATATTACTAAAATGGCAAATCAGTAATAAACCTTAGTAAACAGTAAATGGTATCAATCCAAGTTAAGCAGTGATGAACACTTATACAGCAAATTATACATAAGGACAGTTTAGTTTTTAACAGTTACTCCTATAACAGTTCTATACCAGTTAAATGAATCATTGAGACCTGGGACATAGATCTTTTGAAAGTACTTAGTGATACAGATGTATGACATTTCCTCAAGAAATATTTTTCTGTGCATATATTATGATATTTCTTGAGTGTGAATGCAAATACCAAGTGAAGATAATGAACGCTTGATAATTCCCCGGTCGATTATTCCCTGACCGGAACTAGTAAATTCCAGAAGACTCATACAGCACAGTTGGGAACGTGTTTCCGAAACAAGTAAGAGGAAAAGTGGCCAAGATTACAAAAATATATGGCATATATTGGTCCAGTCAAAAGGCTCGAATAATAGACATCAACCGCATGCTAGATTCTGACACCCATCATGCAAAGACGTGATTTGTTTTTATCTAACAGACGGGCAGTTACATGGTAAATCCTTACTATGAAGTGGTACCACCTTTATCCGATGGGTATTCGGGTGCTTTAATGAATACGCCAAAATATACCAGTAGGATATCATGAAAATCCAAAACTTTATGTTTAACTTTTGAACCTACTGCCTCCTCTATTCCACTACACTACGCGAATATCAGCGTCAAGTGACGTTTTTTGATAAAAGTACAGCAAACACAACTCGGTTCAAGAATATAATGCCACTGACAATAATTACGCCAGAAAAAATGTTTTAATAGTGAAAAATTTCATTTAAAAAGTATGCAAAAAGTGTAACTTGTCATTAAATTATCATAGCAACGGACAACAACGCTACAGTTAGCGAGGATATGCAATAAAGCCTCTCCTAGAAGACTAATGATATAGACTGGAAATAAATAAACTGTGGATACATATCAGTACATTAGCACGACTGAACTTTTATGCATCTGATAATGACAACGATCTTAGTCTACTGAAGAAAATACCTGTCATTTCACGAAGTGTTTGAAAATTTTATTTGTAAAATCTCGGTGAAATTGAAGCAAGGGATTTCTACGTTTCATTCGGCGAATCGGTTCGAACTTCCTCAAGGAAATTAATCGGAATTAAGATCAAAAAGATACATATGTTAAAGGACACTTTTCTGAGATTTTACAAGCGTTTTTACATGTGTATACTTCTCACTCACCGGCTAAAACAACAGCAATTCGAATGAGATCCATCGGGATATAAGTAAAAACAAACCGTTTCTGTTGCAATAATAGCCTACATGTACTAACATGAAATAGCGAAGAAGCATTTTTAGATGTTTAACTCTGAAGCCTGCTGCTTAGATAGATAGACTGTCAAACAACAATTAATGCCACAAACTCTTTTTTCCTTCACGTTCCCAATGGAACATAGGGCCTCAAGCTAGAGGCTTGAAGTTTCTGTAACAGTGTTTATTTTTACAGGATAGGGCTGCTAGCCTCCTGCTCAGCCTTTCCTCTTTACCAGCATTACTTCTGGCTTAGCAAGGTAAAGGAGTGCGTTGGCCGGGGATCGAACCTCGGACCATGTGCATGGTCGGCGAGCGTCTTAACCGCTATGCCACAACCTGGTAAGTCTTATTCATTGAAACCGATACATTTAAAAATATGCTTTAAAATTACTCAAAATTTTGAATATCTGTTTTTATACTAACCAGATAATATATTTTGTTTTATTCTGATAAGTATCCTTTTGTTTCAAGTGTTTGTGTTAACATATTCAGATAGTCTGTTTCATTACACTTTATTGGATATTCTGTCAGCTGGTAGTATGAGACATGTTCCTGAAGGCATAATTTGGAAAGTTGTAATTAAAATCAGTCATCATTAAAAATAAATTCAAATTTTCTCAAAACAATGTAATTAAACAATTGGCTGACGGCATATAACATGTCATAAGGCCATTGAAATGCATTTTGTCCAGGTTCTACGTCGCCTACGGTCTTATTTTTTGAACAGCTATACAACATGTCTTATGTTGTCAACGGGATTCTCTGAATTTAAATAGTTCTTATCATAAAAATGTGCGTTGGTAGTTCAGCAGTGGAATGCCCACCGATCACTCACGTGGTCCGGGGCTTGGTTCCCAGCTGAATCACTCCCTAACCTCACGTAGCTGGTAGTATGCTCAGTGTGGAGAAAAGATTGGATGTGAGGCTAGGAACCCATCCTGGAAAAACACGCAGCTGATACTGAAACTTTAGAAATGAAGTTCTGAGCCCGATACTGCTTTCGGAATGCGAAGGAATAAAAAGAATGTGTAAAAGTCAATTCGGTCTGTCAACGTCACCTAGTTAACTAGCCGGTTTCAAGCCCGGGTAAAGGGAGAGGGTTTGGCGTAGGGCTAGCGATCCTACACCACTAAACCTATCAAACTGCTAGATAAACTTACAGGTGAAAACCAACAAGCCGACTGAAGAAGCAGCGAAGACAGAATTGCAGGTAAACATAGAGAAGATGGAGGTAGTGAAGATTACAAACCAATAAACAGCAACAACAACCAGCACCAATCACCATCAACAGGAGAGATCGAATAGAGGCAACCTCCTTCACTTATCTAAGAAGCATCATTCCAGCTACAAGCGGAATGGATGAAATTGTCTAAGCCAGCCAGCTAGAATCAGAAAGGCAAGATACGTTTTCATCAATCTGAAATCAGTTCGGAAATCTTCTACACTGACTCAGCCAGCATAAAGAAAACGACTCGGATTTTCAAGAGAAATGTGAAGTTAGTCAGCCAGTTCTTCTATACGTGTCAGAAACTCGCAGTGCGTGTCAGTCACGAAAAGCATTTCCAACAGGTTGCAGATTGTTATCAACAGCTGACAACTTCGCTGGCTCCATACTGGGGGTCACATGTCCAGTCAGAAAGAATTAGTTGGTTGGCGACAAACCAACCAAGAGCCGATTGCTCAACAACTATTCTGGAAAAAATGGAGAAGGATCGGGCATACATTGAAGAAACCGTCGAATGACTGCGTACCAGGCCGTCGAATGGAATCCAAATGGGAAGCGACAAGTGGGTCGTCGTCGCAGGGGTGATATGTAGGAGATAGTCCAATGAAGAGATGATAGATTATGGGCAATCGGAGACCCAGCTGAAAAGGATGGCAAAAAATAGAAGAAAGTGGAGATGTGTTGTTGAAGCCGTATGTTCCACTCGGAAACCAAGGGAACAATAAATATTAATAAATAAATTCTCTATGTCAGTAAATAAATTTGGTAATTTTTCCGCTACAATGAATAATTATTTTCTATATTTTAGGACTTAGACCTTTTAACTACTATTTGGTCAACAAACTTAGAATGGGATAAAAATTGGGAAAGTTGGAAAGTTGGCCGATTTTATGATTTACAAACAAATGATATGGAAAATTTAGCTAATACGGTATTTCGAAAATTTGCTAAATGGTCACGCGATTTAAAAGTAAGTTGTTTCGTGAAAAACTAAAAAATTGACATTATATATATATGCATATACCTTCATTATTAACTCCGAGATACACGAATACTGTCTGAGCCTCCTAAAAACATAGCGTTGATAGGAGCTATCTGTCAGAAACACCATTATATTTTTATGAAGATACAGTGCACATTAATATAAAATAATAATTTTTCCTTCGCGTTCCCCAGTGGAACATAGGGCTCCAAGCTAGTGGCTTGAAGTTTCTGTAGCAGTGTTTAATTTTTACAGGATGGGGTTGCTAGCCACATGCCCAACCTTTCCTCTTTACCAGCATTATTTCTGGCTCAGTGAGGTAAAGGAGTGCCCCGGCCAGGGGTCGAACCCCGAACCATGTGGATGGTAGGCGAGCGTCCTTACCGCACATTAATGACCACATATGAATATAACTGACATATATACTCAGCTGCGTCTAAAATATTGCATATTTCTTGATCTGAAGGCAATATTTACCTCGTATCGAAAGATATTCTGGCGAAAGTATGTTTACCCAATCAAGGTTGTCTTTTTACTAGAACTGATGCAGAAGTTTGTTAGTTTATAGAAAGTGGTCGTCTAGAGCGATAACCGCAACTGCTATACTATACTTTTGTTGAAACAACTTAAAATCTTTCATAATAGCTTAAATGTGTTCACTGGTTGTCATCCTCCAAATTCTAAACATTTCTAATATTTGTAGAATCTCAGCGAAATCAAAATGAGTAATTCCAGCGTTTCGTTCGGAAAACTGGTTGGAACTTCTTCAGGGAAATTAATCGAAATTAACATAACAAATGTATATATATATATATATATATATATATATAAGACATCTCTTGTTTTTAAAAACTTTGTCCAGTCATATGAGTCATGAAACAGTCATCAAAATGTAATAAGCAAAACTGCATGAGCTGTGATCAAAATTTGACCTCAAACTTTTAAATATTAGTCTACTTTTCATACAACCGGTTCTACTTTTGTTAAATACTTTAAATAGAGTGTACTTTTCGTCAGATTACTTTCGACTAAAAGTTCATGGACGTAGGTAACTGAATGTGGAAATATATGTGTATATACGGTATACAGTGGTGTGCATGGGGAATAGGGACAAACAGTTGTAAAACATCTGTTAACTTCTCCATAAGAAGACATAGACAATCGGGAATTTAGACCAAGTATTATTAATTAGTGATACATTTCCACTTTTTATTTATTGATTTATTTATCAGGATTTGCCATGCATCAGCTAGCATCACACCTTCACGTCTTTTCAAACTGTTGGGATTCACCCATATATGTGGGACTTCTGTAGTCAATCTCTCCTTATACCAACCGAAACGTTTCTGTAGAACCTTATTGTTATCAAAGTCAATTTTGTGTCCCGTTTCTATCGAATGCAGTGCAATCGTTGATCTGTTTTCTAGCTTCTTTAAGTTCGCAGAAGTCTTTGGAACTACCTTTAGATATTTATTAACCTAGTTTTCCTTTCATATGCAACCGTTTAATATAATGTAATCAAATCTGTCCCCTCTCCCTTCATCTTTTCGGTGTTATCTGGAAGTACGGCAACTGAAACTCCATGTCTTTGTTAAGCTGTTTGTTTCTGTTGATAAGATCTATAACCACCACAAATATACTCAAAGAGCTTTTGCTTCTCCAATATCATCATTTATAAACTTGAATAGTATTGGTGATACTATTCAAACATGTTTAGAACATTATCATATTGATGGCATTCATCCAAGCTACAAATATCCAATATTTCGAAATATTATACGTAAACCTACTTTGAAATTGATTGGTATAGTTTTGTCTGAATGTGGCAAGATAGTTACACGTGAGATGTTCATGTGTAACAACAGAAGACAAGGGTCAGGCAACAGATAGGCTATTTATAAAATCAACACATATTTATAGATTTTCATGTACATTATTATCGATTATAGATATGATAGAGAGCAAACAAACACAGTCTTCTGATTGGTGGTGGTTTCTAGCTGAACGTTAATCTTTCATCTCTTTGTGGCCGTTTCTTCAAGTTCAGATTATCTATCTGCAAACTGTATCCGCCTATGCAAAGTCTTCTGTGATTGGTCGTTGAGTTAGTCTTTGTTTTTATTCTTCTCACGACCAATATTGGGGACGTAAACATTGACGTTAATTACTGTCTACCAATTTGGCTAGCAGCCAGCTCTCGCCATACATGTACAGTCTTATGTGCTCTTTAGACATCCTGTTACCGATATTATTAAAGTTAGTCTTTGAAAATCTTTTCTCTGTAAAAAAAATTCAGCCATCTAAATTTACTCACAGATGAGTGTTAGTTGAACAAATAGTTGTCTAACAACAACAACATAAAACAACTTTGCATACGAAATTATAATAGATTCAGCAAATTCTCTACTCAAAAGATTCATGCCAATTTTTTATTTCTTCTGAAAGCTTACGTCGTTTACTAGAGTACAGTTTTTATAAGTTTTAAAGGTAGATGTGTTAATTCTACTTTAACTGACACTTAGGTCGATCTATTTCTCAAGTTGTCTATTCACTTCTTACTTTCTAATCCATTTTATCACCTTTGCTTCACGGTCGATATAAATGAATCCGCTTTACCTTCAAAGAATATGTTTAATTCTCTGGAACTATTAGTATAACAGTAGACGACTAAAGACTTAGTAAAGGAATGTTTATTTAGCAATTTGGTGTCTTCATATTAGCCAAATTATGTACACCTTATCTTCAACGCACCATTTACACAGAGCTTCACTGTTGTGCTAAATCTGTCCTTTCTTCATATTATGTCTCTTTGTATTCCTTTCACGTCTCCCATATGTTTCATTTACTTTCTTTGACATCAAATCTATCTCCTTACGATTTGATGTTTTTATGCTGATTAACGTCCCTTTATATACTACTGATAAATCTTATTAGTAGCACACGTCACATTAGGTTGTCTCTTTTGGTTGAAAATATTTATATATAAGATAATACAAATCAGTGGTGGAAGGTACTTATTTCAATTTCTCAGAATAGATCTCAGCAACAATAAATGCCTTCAAAATTTAATTTTCTGCAGTTGTCGAATACTTGTCCATTTATTTATATATTTATTTCTTCATTTTTTGTTAATTTTATTCATTCATTTTGGTGAGACTTAGGATAATATTTACGGAGAAGATTTGTTTCATTTTAACAGTTCATTCACTCCAATTTATAATTTATTATCTGATGATGAAGTTTAGGGTTTTCATTTTGAAATAAATCTTTTTATAAGATCCTATTTCTTGTGTGATGCATTCAAATCTTTTGCACTCCACAGCATAAAGAATAAGATTCGAATTTTTAACACAAATGTGAAGTTAGTCAGTCGATTCTTCCATACGGGTCAGAAACTTGCAGAGCGTGTCTGTCAAGAAAAGCATTTCCAACAGGTTGCAGATTGTTATCAACAGCTGACAACTTCGCTGGCTCCATACTGAGGGTCACGGGTCCAGCCAGAAAGAATTAGTTGGTTGGCGACAAACCAACCAAGAGCCGATTGCTCAACAACTATTCAGGAAAAAATGGAGATGGATCGGGCATACGTTGAGGGATTCGTCATATAACTGCGCACCAGGCCTTCGAGTGGAATCCAAATGGGAAGCAACGAGTGGATCATGGGCACGAGAGTGACTTGTAGGAGATCGTGCGGCGAGGAGGAGATGAGAGATTGTAGGCAGTCGTCAAGCTAGCCAACTGAAGAGGGTGGCAGCAAATAGAAGAAATTGGAGATGTGTTGCTGAAGCTGTATGTTTACAGTCGGAACCCAAGGATATAATAACAATAATTTCTGGTGTGAAGTGATCCAGATCTCTGAATCAGGTTTATCAACGTATACCTTCCATTAGATAAGCCTCAAAATAGCTAAACACTTACCCTCTATTCTGATCATTTTGGTTGTTGTCAGTGATCTCCCACAGATGTATCCTGTTGACAAAACATTATGGATTAACAGTCAAACACTCTGTCATAGTGATTCATTATATAATTACACATATGTGAAAAATGACTTATTTTGTAAACTTCAAATGGTTAAACCCTATTCATTCAGTTGTAACACACTCATATTCTTTATTCTGTCTTATGTTGACCTCATTTCTTACATATAGGAGAGAAATTGGGAAGTAATTGATGTCAGTAAAACACGAGTTGATCAATTTCGACGTACAATGCCATTGATTACAGATTTACGTAATCCAGCTATGCGTACAAGACATTGGGATCGTATAAAAGAAGAAATGAATAAACAATTTGATGTGAATTCTGAAAATTTTACATTAGAATCTATTATTCAGCTAGGATTTGAACAATATACAGATTTAGTTAATGAGATTTCAAGTGCAGCAACTAAAGAATTGGCCATTGAAAAGGCTTTAGACGCTATGGAACGTTTTTGGCAAAATAATGAACTTGATATGGTACCATACAAAGAAAAAAATACTTATAAAATTCGATCTACAGAGGAAATATTTGAAGCATTAGAAGATAATCAGGTGAGAAACAAACACTGGTAATGCTACACGGTAACGGTACCATGTTTAAATTCATAGAAGTGAGGTTTCATATATTTTTTTTCAAATATTGGTTTGCAGGGATTCGATCGATTTGGTTACAGGATTTTGTCATTAGCTGACATCAGTCGAAGAACCATTGGAAAATCTGCAGGGAGTACTGGACAGCCTTCTGTTTCATCCTCGTTTGAGTTTTTCCATCAGTATGCACCCATCAGGGTTCGAACCTAAGACCTTCTGGTTACAAGGCGAGCTCATAGACCATTAAGCCACTGGGACCTGATCCAATGGCCCATGAATTCCAAATTCTGTCCATTCTTCGACGAGTATTTGCCCCCACACTCGACTTGCTGCACCCTATTGGTCACGGCTTCCCACTAGAACCCCAGGTAGCTAAATACCTGAATATGACTGGTCGCTAGTGAGCATCTCATTGATTTTCAAGTATTGGTATTTCAGGCATTTTTTTCATTTCTTTTACGTTCCTACTGGAACATAGGGCTTCATGATAGAGTCTTGAAGTTTTGGTAGTAGTTGTGTATTGTATTTACGGGATGGGGTTGGTAGCCTCACGCACAACCTTCCCTATTTACCAATCCTATTACTGGCTTAGTGAGGTAAAGGAGTCCTCTGGTTGGCGTTCGAACCCCAGATCACCTGCGTGGTTGACAACTGTGCCACCAACCTACCGGTTTTACGAGAACCACTTCTTGTGCAACGGATCATATTAATTGTGTAGTTCACCATCGAACAATTAATTTCCAATTACGTAACACTCTGTGAAGTTTGATAGCATAGAATTTAAAGCTGCAAAACATAACTGATTTAAAATGGCAAGTGGAACAAGTGAAATAATACCGGGGACAATTCGAAGTGAGAATAGTAATAGTAACAATTGACGTAATAAGGGAATAGTAAACTAATTGAATAGACGAAATGAAAAAATTGGTGGAGCCAAAGTATGAAGCGAAGTTATCATACTTTAGCATAGAGTGATTAAGACCATGAAAGTTAGAGTGGTTCAACGAACTTGTTCTCTACACAGAGATCTGACCAAAGCTTCAACAATACAGATGAGTGGGATACTTAATGATTTGGACAAATTACTTTTGGTCTTTTAGAAATCTTTAAAGGCGGAGACTACAGAGATAGGATGATCAGTGATTGCGCTTGTTATCGCTCGACTTCCACTTCTTCGTAACCATGCTGCATATATGAATAATAATGATAATATTATGTATAGTTTCTAAAATAAATAACAGCATTTACAGAACGCTACATAAACTTGCCTTATACTTGAATTATTCATCTGCCCAGGTTCAATTATCTACAATGAAAACATCACGATTTGTTAAACCATTTGAATATTTAGTCGATGTATGGGAACGTGTACTTTCATTAATTACAGAAACTGTTGAATATTTATTAACTGTACAAAGACAGTATATGTATATGGAAACAATATTTCTAGGCGAAGATATACGTAAACAATTACCAAAAGAATCTGCAGCATTCGATATGATTAATATTCAATGGCAAGCTATCACTATGTTTTTAAATGAAACACGTAATACACGAGCATGTGCAAGTAAACCAGGTCAGTATGATTAATGATTGATTGTAGGCTGAGATAAGCACATTTATTGATTTTTATAAATTTATATTAAAAGTGAAGAGAAGCGGATTCGATGATTGGTTATTACAAATCACCTAAGGATTATTCTGTCCTATTGTTTGTTATGTTTGCAATCCTGAACAAATATTATGGTTTGTAAGCTTGTAGAAGATTGTCTAGCGAGCTCAATAACATAACAAGTATGCGAATAACAACCCAAGTTAATGACATGATAGTGTAACGATATATTATCAAAAATACAGTAATGAGTTATATTAATCAAAGGGTTACTTGGATGTACAATTAAAGACCATGGCTACAAATTATTAATATTGTAACAACAGAAGACAAGGGTCAGGCAACAGATAGGCTATTTATAAAATCAACACATATTTATAGATTTTCATGTACATTATTATCGATTATAGATATGATAGAGAGCAAACAAACACAGTCTTCTGATTGGTGGTGGTTTCTCGCTGAACGTTAATCTTTCATCTCTTTGTGGCCGTTTCTTCAAGTTCAGATTATCTATCTTCAAACTGTATTCGCCTATGCAAAGTCTTCTGTGATTGGTCGTTGAGTTAGTCTTTGTTTTTATTCTTCTCATGACCAATATTGGGGACGTAAACATGGACGTTAATTACTGTCTACCAATTTGGCTAGCGGCTAGCTCTCACCATAATATAATTCACAAAAGCGTTCACTGCTGGAATCGTGTCTACTGGTAGAAGCTGTGTACCGGTTGTAGAATTGCCTTCAGATGAGGATAAGAGGTTCCTGCCAAAAATCCAAAGTATACGACACGGTTATGAGTGGAGCAAGTAGACAGTAAAGACCCATAAGAAGGTGAAGCGACCAACAGTACACTGTATTATAGATTGTTATCTATATTTCAACATGAATCGTTCTAAACAAAAGTCATTTAGAATGTCTATAATTACAATAGCTAACAAAAAAGTGTACAATAATATTGTTACGTACTCCACAAGCTTTCCACACATATTCACTCACCCATGCTGTCATGCAGGAATTATGATCAAAATAAACTTGAAACTCATGGAAAATGAAAACATACGAAGTTAGACTTATTAATGAGAAGAGTTAAATAATATATGATTTTGTAGAGAGATTTAAGTTGCCTGTACACAAACAGATATACAGACAACATAAACGGTAGAAAATATACATATAATTCAATTTGGATTTTCCCGTTGTTTGTCTGGACCGAAGTACTCGGTTTCAGGTTGACATGTCGGCGGCTTCTTGCACAGATGCTTCTACAACGTTTGATCATGTGACTTGAAGTCAATTGGTTGATGGTGACTAGCAGTGAAAGAGAACCTGAGTGGGAACACCATCACTCACTGGGAAATATACGTGCATCCAGATGAAGAGTCCTAAGTAGGGTGAAGTGCACATCCTGGAATCCACTGCTAGTTTCTGTCAACCAACTGAATACACCTGTTCGTGTCTGCTTTCTTTTCAAACGTCTATTATTAACTCTAATTCTGCGGTTTATCACCCATTTAACTGTTCTGTATACTAATGCTAAGATTATTAAAGGATTATTTGTGATGCCGATCAGATTTTGGCAGCCTGTTTGACACCTGGGCTACCTTTCCGTACATCTACATATTGCATCTAATACATCATGTTTTTATTTTTTTTTAATTTTATTTATCATCGGCCCCTCCATCTATTCCCAGTTCTATTTATTTTACCTTGAACCATGTCACTAACTTTCACAAAATATTGACTCAAAGACCTCATGGATTGTTGCCATGCTTCTATCCGCCTAACCTAATCCTACTTCAGTTAATATTACTCGTCGTGGAAGGCTTTGGTACAGCATATCTAACATATTTCCTGGCCATCTCTGCCGATGAAGCTTCACAGTTTCATGTGTTAACATCCCCTCATTACCTTATAATCTATGCCAAACCTCATAGTGACTCACCAGTCTGCACCATCTAGTACAAGAGACAGAATACAAGCGCCTACGGTCATAAACGGTTGATTTTTCCTATTTTCCAGTTTTTTATAGCCACGTCTCTTAGTCGTAAAGAAAGAAAGGCAAGGCTAACTTCTGTACAGTACACTCGTCATCTGGCGGATAGGCAGATATTATGCCTCCACCAGAAATGATGATATTTCAAATTCTTTTTGTTTATTTTTATTAAATAAAACTACAAATCAGAAGCGTACAAACTTACCGGGTTAGTTTATTACAGACAAATTGACAGTTTATCAGGCAGTGAAAAAAGAACTCGAACTTGGAAAGAAGTATTAGTTCAGCACAAATCAAAACTTGGAAAGCACAAATCAAGCCCCAACTATCCACTGATTTATCTGATCTCTGTTAAAGTCAAATCTTTGAAATTGCTGTTCCTTCTTTGTCAGAGTCTCTTCTTACAAGAGAAGATAGCAGAATAGCAATTAGTATGTCGTCCATACATGTTTTTATTGCATTACAATATTTTGCCTATGTATGTCTGCAGATCTCTCCAGCTTATGGAACTGAAGATTCTGGAAAACTGTAATGACACTGTTCAGAATTATGCTAAATAAGCTACTTGATCAAGACCCAATAGGTGGGATCAGTTAACACTAAGCCATTTGTGAAAATGATACTGCTAACATATATATATATATATATACATAACTTCTTCTTCCCTGTGTTCACAGGTTTATTAGATCAACTAAGTAAACTTGTTCAAAGTTTAGATGAAATACAACAATCGTTGGATATGTACTTGGAGACAAAACGTCAAATATTTCCACGATTCTATTTTATATCAAATGATGATCTATTAGAAGTCTTGGGACAAGGCAGAAACCCAGAAGCTGTTATGCCACATTTGAAGAAATGCTTCGATAACATTAATCTTTTAAGATTAGAAAAGGTAAAGACAGAGAAAAAATAATTTGTGTTAACTTTAAAGCTTGTGGAAAATGTAATATACTTATTAATTTACTGATTAATATGTTTCAATTGACATTTTAATGACTATTAGTGCAAGTCATTCAAGAGTGCTTATCATAGGTTTGCATATACTTAATATCTTACATACGAAGGATGAGAAAACTCTAATAGAGTCATTAAGTAATTTGTCGTGAAAAATAAATGAATACAATCATCTATAGTTTGGTTTGTAAGGGTTAGTTTTGTGTATACGAGTTTCACCACGAATCGATATCACTCAGGGAACCACTAAAAACCTGGGAGTACCGGACAGCTGTTTCATCCTAGTTTGAGAGTCATCAGCAATATGCACCCACTGGAGTTCGAACCCAAGACCTTCCGGCTACAAGACAAGCTCGTATACCATTCAGCCACTGGGACCTGATTCAGTAGCTCATGAATTCTAACTTCACCAATTCGTGATTTAGTGCGACCCCAAACAATGTCGTCGGTGGGACATCTATCCTCACAAGTGACATCTGGATGGATCTCACTGGTCATAACTTCTCACTAGAACCCCACGAAACTCCATCCTGTAGCTAGTAACTAGCGTGCATCAAATTGATTTTCTATAATTTGTATTTCAAGCGTTTTCGGTTATTTTTTCTGTATTTATATCCTCTAATTTGTAAATTTTAATCTTTATTTTACTGATCTTTCGTCAGTTCGTTGTAAGTCTTGGTCTATCAATATGGATCTTTTTGTGTAATATGCAAAATTCTGTTTTCGTGTGTCAAATACTGATTTACTAAGGTTCACTTTTTCCAGTAAAGGACTGATGTATGGACCTATGATATCTGTAATGTATCTTGAGTAAAAGGGACTATATAATGTGCCGTTTTTAAATTAAATTCGTGTTACTTATTTTAGCACACTGAAATACTAGAAAAAAATGACTTAACAGGCTTAACAATTGATTGCAAACACCCATTAGAAATCACAAAAGATTGATTACTGAACAAATATTGAGTTTTTTTTCGATAACTTCTTCATCAGATTCTACAATTATGTATTCATAATAATGAAAGAATTAGACTGCAGTTCAGTGGGATGTATAGGTGTGCGGGTACCTAATAAATTGTCAAAAGCATCCAGGTACTGAAAACTTCAAATAGCAGAGGCTATTGCGACTCCCATGAAACAGCGGGTGCTCTGTGTGCAGAAGAAATAGGTCTAGCCACTATTACTGCCCTCGTCTTCTATGGAGCTTATTAATTCATGAATTGTATATTATTGTTTTTCCTAATTTGTCTGATATTCAATGTGGTGTTATGCTGATGCATATTATCACGTTTACAGATGCTATTGAACTGTAATCTGTTGATGGTATTGTTTTGATGGTAATATTATTGTTCCCTTGGGTTCCGTGTGGAACATAGGGCTTCAGCAACACATATCTACTTTGTTCCGTTTTCTGCTGTCCTTTTCAGCTGGCTCCACGATTGCCCACAAACTCCCATCTCCTCCTCCACGAAAGATCTCCTCCATGTCACTCTTGCACCAATGACCCACTCGTTGTTTTCTATTGTGATTCAACTCGAGTTACGGACTGCATTGAGCGTGATGTCATTCGACGGCCTCCTCATCGTATGCCCAATCCATCTCCACTTTCTTCTACATATTTTTGAGGAATTGGCTCTCGCCTGTTGATTTTTCCCATCTATCCAGAGTTTTTGTTGCTAATTTTCTCTGGCGGGCCATTTGATCTTCAGTATAAAGTCAGCAAAAGTAGTGGCTGATAAGTCTTTAATTCGTTGGAAATGTTTTTTTCGTGACACGCAGTGCAAATTTCTGAGCCGCACAGAAGAAATGACTGACTGAACATTGGTGTTGAAAATCTGAATCTTGTTCTTTATGCTGGCCGACTGAGTGTAGGATATTTCTGATGTTAACATCTTCATCCGTTTCGCCTATAGCTGAAATGATGCTTCCTAGATAAGTGAAGGAGGTAGCCTCTGTCAGATCTCTTCCTTTTGATGGTAATTGGTACTGGTTGATGCTGTTGGTTGGTTGGTTATCTTCATCACCACCTTCTTCTCTATGTTATTTAAACATTAATGTTGTGTGCGTCGGTGGCACAGTGGTTAGGACTCTCGCCGACCATGCACATGGTCCGGGGTTCGAGCCCACGCCGACGCACACCTGATATCTATGGTCGGCCTGCGAAATTTGGGCTACCGATATCCATGCTGAAAATTCCATACTTGTACCAAAAATACGGTGTGGAATCAAGCTGTAATCAAAAAAAATAAATAAATAAAAAAATAAGTTAATAACCCTAATTGTCTCATTATTAAGGATGCATAATTGTAGAAGCTGATGAAGAAGTTATTGAAAAGAAAACTCAGTATTTGTTCAGTAATCAGTCTTTTGAGATTTAGTAAATCTATAAAAGCATTTATAAGATTTGTTAAAGTACTTTACTATTGGGTCATTTATTTCTTGAGTATCTCTGTTGGGAAAATCTTTGGTATTACTTGAAATTACCTACACTTCTCGTAAGGGAATTTTATCATATCGTTTGAAAGTATATCTTTAATTCGAAAATCATACGAGTGCAGTACATATCTTAAATCTTCTTATACTCACTATCTACGTAATCATTTTGTCTTCCCTCTAATTAATATGCCATTCTTCCACAACTCAATCGCTATCATAATAATAATAAAAGGCAAATCTGTTTGACAGAACACATGATATGAAGGAACTACTTCGACCCAGTTTCGTATATATTAATCAACTGGTTATGTCAGTGAAGTAACGCCTAAAGATGTAAAATAATACAGTTTAATTAATGAACTGTTATGTTTGAATGACATGCAGTCAGTCTGGCAATAAATGAAAGTGTAACAACAGAAGACAAGGGCTAGGCAACAGATCGTTTTATTATGAAAATCAACACGTATTTATACATATTTCACATACATTATTATAGCTTATGCAAGTAGAAAAGTGCAGTTATCTGATTAATTGTTTATCAGAAGTTAGGCAGACAAACGCAGGCTTCTGATTGGTTGTTTCGGGATTCCTTGACAAATAGAGTTCTCTATCTGCGAATCATATTTTGCCACGTTAACTTTGCTGTGATTGGTTGTTGAATCAGCCTTGCTCATATTTTCTCACGGCCTGCTCTCACCACAAAAGAAGTTAAGCCTAAAAATAAGCTATTTAGGGAGATATTAAAATAAGTATTTAGTGTTATGCATAAGATCAGTCATACGTGCTTTTTCGAGATTAGTTCTAACAAGTTTGTTACCTAGTTTGACGATACACACCATTAAAAAGTTTAATTCCTCGTATTACTCTGTAATACTATTTTAACATGTCTGGAGTTGTTACGTGAAAATAGTGGGTTCGATCTCTAGCAGCGTCGTGGAGGTGCACTGCTATGAGTACCAAACAGCGACGACACACCTGTCTATCGTCCTCCTGATTTTCAATGATTCTTTAACCGATGTCAGTTCATGACAAAATTCTGCATTGAAACAGTTCTCTTTATTATTGAAAGTGATATTTTTCAAGCCTTTGTTGTAACTAAAGTGAAGCGGACCATCCTTCCTTCAATAGCCATTGTCATAGAACAGTTTCAACAAGCATAGCTGAATAAATAGTATCCAAAATGCTACAGTTTTAACTACACTATATTCAGGTCTTTACTTAGTTGCCAATTATATGTGATAATTCCATACTGATTTGTTTACTAGATATATCACACAGTGAAACAGTATTATCTATTGGATGACTCAGTTTCCAACACAATTTATTATTCATAACCATGCCATCAATTATAATCACACGACTTCAAAACTTGGGTTTTATAGTTTCTTTGTCCTCTCTTATTTGTTGTAGGAGTAGTAAAATTTCCCAGATATATGGAACAGGTGCTGATTCACTCCTGTTACACGTATTCTCTTCAGTTAATTCGACAAACAAAGCTTCCGTTATAAATCTCCCCCCCCCCACCCTGTGACATTAGATTTTAAAACTGTCATCTTATCCCATCCAGCCTATTGTACGGTTGTGTGTAATTGTATGTAATGCTACAGCTGAACTTTTCTCTAGATTTCTTATCTTATTCGGGTCAAAAAATCTAGATTTTGATAGGTTTCTACATTCAGTTAGTCTGACTGCCCCTGTTCTACTACTTTCACCTATGTATTTGACCTGACAATCATTGCATGCAGGGTATTAGATAAACTAAACTGTCTTGTTTAATTGGCTCCCTAGCATCCTTTAACCGACAAAGCTTATTGCTGATTAAGTTTGTGGGCTGGAATGCTGGCCTTTTTTATTCCTGCATTGTTAAGAGTTCTCCGTAAGTTTTCTGAGGTTCCCTCTTTGTATGAGAGTACTACTGATGACTTATATTCCCTATTGTTGGTTTTGTCATTATCCTATGCATGTTTGACATGCACGTCGTCATTAGTATTATTATTATCATCACTACCAGAGGCTGTGTTCCTTACGAATTGGGTTGCCAGCCTCGCGCCCAATCTCTTTCCTTCTTTACTAGGCTTAATAGCTGCTAAGTGTAATGTTTAGGAGTGCATCAGCCAGGAATAGAACTTGGACTACCTTCGCAGTTAGTGAGCGTCCTACCACTTAATCACCGACATATTCCATTAATTCTAGGTAAGAACTAAGAAATGACATATTTGAAATATTTATAGTTACAGAAATATAGGTGCCATTCTACGAAGTTATATACTTTCTAAGCAGTTGTTTATTTCATCTCAGTAGAGAAGGAAATGCTGGTTTAATGTATAAATACAAGATTTGGCTCTAGCCTAACACGTTATGGGGTAAATAATACCGAATCACACTATGTTACACCTGTACACCTATACAAAAAGTACGGAATTACGTCATAGTATCAATGCTCAAGTTTTGCTCCTCTACTAACTTAATTCACTTGTTTGCCGATCACTTTCTCATTATTACTAACGATCAACGTATACATATGTGTAATGAACAATGTAGATTTGCTTTAAAGAAGATAAAAAACATATTTTCAATTTAGGTTATTATAAAATCTGACACTTCAAGACATGCCAATCTTATTCAATCAAGATTGAGACGAACAATTGTTGAATTACACGGGCATAATTCTACAGATGGTTCAGGTGCTAGTAGTGGACATAAAAAGTCAGTTTCATCACCCGTTCCAGGCAGTCAACCTGTTACAGCTAATAATACACCTGGTAATCATAATGATGCTCCATCTAATCATCATAATCAAACATCAAATTTCAATTCATCAATGTTAAATGAATCAAATGCAAACGGTGAACAAAGTGACGAGGTGCATAGTACACCGATTGTTCATTTAAATAATAAAGATAAAAATGGCAATGAATTCAATGATTCTGTTAATTTAGAAGCGAATCATTTATTAGATGGTAAAACGGATGCAGTAAATGATGAATCAAATGATCAGATTAGTTCTGAACAAGGTTTAATAAAAGTTACCAATGAAGAAGAACACTTTGAGTCAAATGTTGATCACTTTCTACTACTACCACGTAGTAGTATATCTAAGCAAACAGTTCCACAAGTAGTACCAACTGTTGCAGTAACTGGTGTACAAAGTGTTCAGTCAACAACTGTTCTCGCCGCTGCCACTACTACGATGACTACTACTCCGACTACAACTGTCACTAAGACTAAGCATACACCGGTTGGTTTAGCGCATCCGTTGAAAAATAAAAAAACACTGTTGTTCGTTTTCAATTTTTCTAAAAGTTGTTGTCGTTGGTTTGTTTTTGTTTGTTTGTTTATTTTTCTCAGGCTATCCCAGTTGTTCCCATCTGCATTATCAATCTTTTAGAATACAGCTGTTTGTTTAACTATTAACCTATTTATTTATTTTTGTTGACAACACATGGATTAGTGTCCTTATACCTTAGATTTCAAACCTCAAGAGCCTCACAAGAGGTGGCTGTCTTGGCTCTAGTGTCCTTGTAGATAACGCTTTAGTGTTTGGAACAATAGGTGCACAGTTTGAGTCTCATTGGGGACATCACCACTCGCTGACAGTAGCAGTTACATCTAGCTGACGAATCCGAAGTAAAATAAAGCCAAGGAAGTGTTCTGGACTTCACTGCTAGTCATCATCAGTCACAATAAGACTTTAAAGTTTGAAATTCACACGGTATCTTTGTTTCATTGAGATGATTACTGTATAGCCATCTAAAAATTTGATGGTGAAGTGCTTAAAAATAGACAAATAGTAACTAAATTTCAGAAGTCACAGACTAAAATAAGATATATGAAACTATATGATAAAAAGAAAAACAAAATATATGTTGAGACTGTTTTGCAGAATACTGAATACATTTCGTTGGTGTAAATACACTTTTAGTCAGAACAGGGTGATTAGCAAAGTGTTTAGCCATCACATTCAGGTTACCGAAAGGGAAAATATTTACAGGAGTCTCTCAGCTGTACTTGTTCCTGATAGTTTTAACATAGCATACTGTTCCACCAAGGCACATATACTTCTAGTTAAACTACTTTCTCAGCTGTTAAAACTGCCATGGACACAGTTGACTGCATCAATAATAGTCCTCCATCCTAAGGCTATTCTAAATATTCTTGATTGCACACTAGTCAGTAATTAGTATAGTGTGTGTGTGTGTTTCCAGTCATATCTTTGGTGCAGACTGAATTCCATCAGTCAAGTTTGTAATGTGACCACCATAGCACCAGGTGGCACACCATCACGATGCACTGTGAATTGTTGATATTAGATGGTTGGACGTAATTGGCAAGAAGCCTTAGACCCAGGTTTCGTGCTATTTGGCACTCATCAGTCCTACAGAAGGTCAATCACGAGCCTGAATGGCTCAAAGGTGACATCTCTGGCTTCAGCATTGGGTGACGTGGGTTCAAATCTCAGAAGGGACATGAGTTCTTTCGAGGTTTCAGACACACCTTGCTGATGAGTGCCAACTAGCACGAAACCTAGGTCTAAGGCTTTCTGCCAATTACCTCCAACCATCATCTAATGCCAACAATTCTAAATATTTTCACCACCAGTGAACAATCGGTTCCTCTTTTCCTAATTCAGTTTGATTAGGATTGATAGATGAAGTAGCTGGGTAGCTACTGTGAATGGCGACATATCACTTATTCATATCACAGATGAAGACAGCCCGTGATGACTGCAGGAAAATGATGGTCTGATGGCTCAGCTGCTAGAGTGCTGGGATTGTTATTTGTAGGCCACTGGTTCACATCCTGATACAACCTATATTTTAATTTCAACATCAGGCAACATCTATCAACCTTAATTTGTCATAAAAACTTATTTTTCCATTAAAAAAATTTCTACATCAGTTAGGTTGGAACTGCATATTTGGTATGTAATTGCTAACAGATTTAATCGTTCAGTTGTTTCAACTACACATTTTATTAGAAATGTTAGAGTAATGTCTTACCCCCTGCGTTTTATTGCTTTTTTTTTATACAGACAAGTATATCATTATTTGATGCTATTTCAATGTTTTCATTGGACGGTGAAGAAGTACAATTTAAAAATAAAGTTCGTCTTGATGGGCCTGTAGAATCATGGCTATGTGATGTAGAAGATCAAATGTATAAAACGTTGAGAGATTTGTTAAGAGATTGTAGATTCGCCTTAAAGAAAGCAGCTAATAAACGTGATAAATTTATTAAAGAATGGCCTGGACAATTGTGTATTACATCAAGTCAAATTCAGTGGACAGCTGATGTTACAAAAGCCTTACAACTAGTAAGTAGTTTTTTTTTATCATTTACATTCCCAGTGGAACATAGGATTTCAGGCTAGAACTCTGAATTTTCAGTAGCAGTGATATTTATTTTTACGGGATGGAGTTGCTAGCTTCAAGCCCAACCTCTCCTCTTCAACAGTCTTATTACTGGCTTAATGAGATAAAGAAGTGCGTCTGTGGCCGGGGTTCGAACCCGATACCACCTGCATGCTTGGTGAGCAGTCTACCGCTGTGCCAATGACGCGTACAACTGGTAAGTAATAACGCTCCATAATAAGTTTAAAGCTGAGAGAATAAACGAAACTAAGTAGGAGGAAGTCTATATTCCAACATTTTACTATCATTTTAAATGGCAACAGTTATCAGTCAACTTTAGGAGGCAGACAAGACAGTTAACAAGTTATTTTTTACTGCGTGAACGCATCATCTGATTCAATTCAAACAATAAGGTTGAATTTATATTAGGCTATTAATGTCAGCTGATAGTATGAGGCATGCTGCTAGACTATTCAAATAAGTTGGATTAAAATATGTTCAGACTGTAGTTCAATCATAATCCTATGTGTTTAAGTATCTTAGTAACGTGTCTTTTACCAAAAATCTAAATATCTGGGTTGTTTTGATTAGATATGTTCTTAAAACAGTTCTACTAATTCCTCTTATCCTTCCTTTTCACTGTCAGAAATAACAGTTATATTAAATACAGTCAGTCGAATGGCTTTTGTATAAGGATCTTAGTACCCTTTTACACTGGAAATCATCAGCTTACAGTGACAGTCTTTTCAAGATAATTATGCCCTTCATATAGTCTTCTGATTGATACTTATATGTGAATGGTATAGCAACTGACATCGTTTCCCAACAAATCTAGTTCCCAAATCGATAACATTCTTCTTTATATTTATCGTTTTTGACTAAAGTGATAATATAACCTGTTCTACAAAAAGAGGTTCTCTTAAATGGATAGGTTTATTAGTTATGTCTCTAGCTTTGAAATCAATAAATGTTAATTTCAGTCTTAGCAAAATGAATACCATTGATATGATTTTAAAAGGGCGCTGAGCCTTGGGTTATCTCATTTTAAAACCCTTTACAATCAATGATTACTGGTATGTTTCCTGCTTAAGAGCTAGGTTGGAAAAAAAGATAGGAGAGAAACGACAAGAGAAAAGGGCCAGGAAACAGATCATTTATTGAGAAAATCAACAGATATTTATAGATCTTTATGTACGTTATTATTCGTTATTGTTAGAAGAGAAGCAACATCTTCTGATTGGTTGTTTTCCGTTGATATATCTGCTAATCGTATCCACCCACGCTACGTCTACTGTGATTGGTAGTTGAGTTAGTCTTTGTTCTTGTTTTTGTTTCTCATGACCAAGATTTGGGACGTAAAATGCTATCTACCAATTTCGGCTAGCAGACAGCTGTCACCACAGAAGTAGTCGGACTAACATATGACACAGATCCATAAAGTCTTTGATTAATGATGAAAGTTACATTGACAGGTATGAACTACTTAACAGAGGTTTTAAAACTACTAATAATCATGTGTTAAAGATCTCTGGTGATACAGTTCAAAATCTTTCTCAGCGGCGTAGATATATTCAGATCACGTCATCTCCCGTATTCTAAAAACTTGCATTAATCTACCTACCTCAACATACTCACACCTTTGTTCATTGTAATTTCATTACAATTCTCTTCACTACGTTTGTGCATAATTTGCCGAACTACAGCAAGTTGAACCGCTGAACTTCCGGGCAAATTTCTACGTTATTAAGTTAATCATTAATTTATTTAATAGTGAGGACAGCACATGGTGGACATTGACTTATCATGAACAAACATCTTGTATTTTACTCAATCATCATCATCAACTGAATCATAATGTATCAATCAAAATCACAAAATCCTTTCGTAAGTGTTACTCACTATGTCAGAGAATTCCCTCCAACATTTCTAATACTAAGTATAAGTGGGTATTTTCATTGGACACTAGTAACTAGTGTGGCATATCTAGTCGTTTCTTTGGTGCAGACTGAATTCTATCAGTCAGGGTTTGCAATGTGGCCACCATTCTAGGTAGCTCTCCATCACGAAGCACATTATTATTATTATTGTTTCCTTGGGTTCCCAGTGGAACATAGGGCTTCAATTCCACGTCTCCACTGCTTCTGTCTTCTGCTGTACTTTTCACCTGCATCCATGTTAGTCCATACTGTTTCAACTCATCTTCACGCGATCTCCTCCATGTCACCCTTGCACCGACGTCTCACTCGCCGCTTCCCTTTCGGGTTCCACTCAAGCAATGGCCTGACGCGCGCGCGATGTCACCCAGTGGCCTCCTCAGCCAGTGTCTGATCCACCTCCACTTTCTCCTGCATATTTGTTGGTTGGCGATTGGTTCTTGTTTTGTTTGTTAGTGCCTACAGTTTCTTGTTGATGATTCTTTCCGGCCGGCAGTCTGATCTTCAATACAGAGTGAGGACAGTTGTTGATAAAGGTCTGCAACAGGCTGTTGGAAATATTCCTTGTGACCCGCCTGCCAAGTTTCTGATCCGTACAGAAGAACTGACTGACTTGACGTTTGTATTGAAGATCCGACCGAATTTTGTTGTTGATGGTGATTGATGAAGATTTCCAGATTGGTTTCAGGTTGATGAATGTGTTTCTCGCCTTCCCGATTCTCGCTCGATTTGACATCTTCATCCGTTCCGACTGCCTGTAGTTGAGACAATGCTTCCTAGATAATGAAGTGAATGAAGTGACCTCTGTCAAATCCCTCCCGTTGATGGTGGGTGATTGGCGCTGGATGTTGTTGCTGTTGCTGTCGTTGTTGTTGGTTGGTTACTTTCATAACCTCCGTCTTGTCTATGTTCATTTGGAGTCCTGTCTTTGCTGCTTCTTCAACCAGTCTGTCGGTTTTCGCTTGTAAGTTTTCGATTTTGTGTGACATCAAACATAAATCATCCACGCGCGAAATCCAGGTCTTCTAGGTTCTTCACGTCGGTCCAGACAGGATATCCCTGTCTTCTCGTTTACCACTGTCTGACGCATAATCCAGTCAGTCCACCACAATTAGGAATATCATTGGTGATAATAGGTAGGCAGCCTTGTCTAACTTCTGTGTTTACTCCAAACGCTTCGCTGAGTTTTCAGTTGTGGATCACTTGACATGTGCCGTTGTACAGCTGTTGAATAAGGTTGATGAATATGTGGGGTACGTCGTAGTATTCGAGTAGTTTCCAAATTACTTCGCGGTCAACACTGGCTGTCGAAGGCCTTCTCAAAGTCTATAAAGTTGAGGTAAAGTTTTAATTTCCACGTAGCACATTCATTTTATGATATTAGATAGTTGGAGGCAATCGGCAGGATAAGTGGATTTTTCATCAGTGTCATTTTCCTCTTTTAAATTCTAATGTATAACTGGGGGAAACTAAGGCTTTTTGTAGGATTGTAGTCCTTATAACCGCATTGATTGAGCAGCTTCAGTATAAACAGACTGAGTTCTACAAATCAGTCTCATTGTGTCTCACTGCAATTCCTGTAATCTGATTCTCAAACATTTATCCAACATCCTAAATCCCTTATATCTAATTGCTGTTAATATCATAATGATAACAATAATAATAGTGATCACAAGGTTTCTGTATCATATTTTACCTATGGTATGTATGTGTGTATTCTCTGATTCTCTTGTATATGTGTTTTCTGTTTATAATTTAAAGGTATCACATAGACAAGATAAAAGGCCATTGAAAACTGAAACGTAAACAAAAGAATATCCTGGAAAAGTTCTCAGAAGCAATACGTTCAAATTTAACTAAAATTCAACGTTTAAAATTAATGCTCTAACTGTTGTTGAAGTTCATCAACGTGATATTATTGAAAAACTCTATAAAACTGGTTGTAATGATGTTAATGCTTTTGATTGGTTGAGTCAACTTCGATTTTATTGGGATAAGGTTAGTTAAAATCATTATACAATTGGTGGATGGTGGCTAGCAGTGGAATCCGGATTCCACTGCTAGCCACCATCCACCAATTGTATACTAATTAAATGCCCAGACATCGTCGAAGCATCTGCACAAGAAGCCGACATGTCAACCTGAGACCGAGCACTTCGGTCCAAACAATCGACGGGAAAATCAAAAATTCAATTCAATAGTTAAAATCATGTTGAAATCGGGATTTTTTATTCATTTATTTTTTATTTTGGATTACAGCTTGATTCCACACTATATTTTTGGTACAAATATGGAATTTTCAGCATGGATATCGGTAGCCCAAATTTCTCAGGCCGACCATAGATATCAAGGTGTGCGTCGGCGTGGGCTGGAACCCCGGACCATGTGCATTGTCGCGAGAGTCCTAACCACTGTGCCATCGACGTACGATATGTACATATGAATGAAATTCATTCATTATTTAAACAATTCACATAAAACATATGAGGATATTATTCATAAGATTTGAAATAAACATGTTAGAAAAATTTAGCAAAATAAAAAGAGACGATGAAAGATAAAAAGAACATTCAGTGAGAGATTGACTAAAGATCAACATGGAGGATTTAATCATGAGCTGACATCAGTTAGAGAACCACTGGAAAACCTGGGAGTACTGGACAGCCGTTTCGTCCTAGTTTGGGACTCCTCAGCAGTACGCACCCACCGGGAAGTTAGAATTCAAGGACCATTGGATCGGGTCCCAGTGGCTCAATGGTCTACGAGCTCGCCTTGTAACCAGAAGGTCCTGGGTTCGAATCCCGGTGGGTGCGTACTGCTGAGGAGTCCCAAACTAGGACGAAACGGCTGTCCAGTACTCCCAGGTTTTCCAGTGGTTCTCTAACTGATGTCAGCTCATGATTAAATCCTCCATGCAATCAAACAAAATCCCTACAAAAACCAATACTTGTAAAGATCAACACTTTAGATTATTAGTTAAATACTAAGAAGCTCCTCATGTTGCAAAGGAGGTGCTGGTTTGTAAATAATCTTGCTTTTCTAAATGTATTTGTTTGTGAAACAACAGTTGTCTGGGTTTGTTTATTTGGTTTCCAATCTATTATACAGATACTCATGAAGTGTGTCTATTTCACTATTCTAATTCTGTTGGATGTTCCCATTTGGCTGACAATATCTAACTATATTTCAGTTAGTGCTGTGTACTTGAGTTTTCTTGGTGAATACTGTGTCTGTCCGTCTATATATCTGAATATCGGTTATTTTGACATTATACCACTACTGATGCGGCGTATGCTACTGACATGATTTGTGAGTAATATATACACGTAGATATAAGTGTATATATCGTCTGGAAGAATACTGGCTAGTGGACAGGTGGATGTAATGGCCAAGAGAAGGAATTGACGATTCTTGTGAAATAACATGGGAAACATAAAGTGAAGACAAAAGAAGGACAATACGGAGTTAGATGTAGATGCTTAGATCACCACAGATAGTCGACAATAAAGAATTCCGTTACGAAATAGTATTGCTTTGTTCTGTTATACATCCAGCTGAATGAATTCAATTTTGGTTATGAGAGATCTTGGAAGGCACCAACGACAACAATACCAGCGGATAAAACCAGTGGTCATCAGTCCATTTCTAGTCTCTGGTTTGGTAACCGGTATTGATGTCATTGGCCTCTCTAATCATGCATCACAGTCGACAGAAGCATTCATTCAGGTGGTTGTATAAGCGAACTACACACTTTATCATCAGCCAACTGGATGTATAGATCTGGCAAAATACATCAACTCTATATCAAATTCATGGTTTGTACATTTCTTCCTTATTGTGCTTCTCTTATCTATGTTGTTTCACAAGAATTGTCTACTGTTTCTCTTCGTGATTATATGCATCTGTTCGCTACTGAATATTCTTGCAGATGGTATTTACATTTATACCTACGTGTATATATTACTCACAAATCCTGTCAGTAGCACACACCACTTATGTATTTGGGCGATTTCAGTACATCAATTAGCTCTATAAACAATTCCACTACCAAATATTATCATGTTCTGCTGTTACACTACTACAGCCCTTGTTCTTGCGTTGTAATCCTGCCTACGAGCTGTAGTTACTATTCAGTGAGAAAATTACGTGTTAACATAATTACAAAATGGTGCGAAAAACTTATAAAAAAGTAAAAGGTTTACAGCACATGCAGCGATAACTTTGAAGTCGTACTTCAACTTCTATTTATACGAATTAAAGAGGTTATAAGACCATTAATTAGAGATATGTTGCAATTTTCTGTCCACTAATATCAGCCTTGAAAAAATACTGAAACTACTCTATATTACAAATTCTTTGCAAAATGAGGCCGAGTTTATTTTCTCAATGAGTTGATTTACGTATTTATCTTCCCTCAAATATTCATGAACTGTGTGTCCAAATTGATATAAGGATGAATAACTATCCTATAGAATTCATTAGGAAGATCAGAAAATGTTAAAAGCGAAATAAAAATAATTCTGAAACTAGTAATAATAATATAAATAAGAGAAAATATAAGGCATCTACTGTTATACTATATAAGGAGGGGACATCTGAGACCCTAAGTACGATTCGCAATAAGGCAGGAATCAGGGTGGCATTCAAACCTATAAAGTTACTCAGAGACCAGCTGTGTAGTCTAAAAGACCTTGTAGACCCAATTAAACAAAATAATATAATTTATAAAATACCCAATGACTGTGAGGTCAACTACATAGGTCAGACCAGTAGGTCGGGAGTAGTCAGATTGTCGGAATATGAGAATTTAGCTAAGGTTAGAATGATTGATCCCACAAAGATAAGTAATTTAGAAAAAACTCAGTTGTTGCACTACATGCATTTACACACAACTACGCAATAGGGTGGGAGAGAGGTTGATTACTGAATCCTGGTTCATCGAGTCTACACCTTACTCATGCTGCAGAAGTCATTCCGCGTCTAAATGTGTAGTTTACGAGTGATTTGAAAATGAAGGTAAATATTTTCTGGAAGTAAATAACTTCCGACCAATTGTACTATTAATGTGAATACAAAATCTCAAATTACTGATCTTATTATATCTGACTGAGCCCATATACCTTCCTAAGAGTTTTGAACTCCATCAGTGATTGGATCGGACAATACAGAGTGGTATTTCCTTTTAGTTGATACACTGTCAATAGTTTATTGTTCTGTTTTCTCGTGATCATAGGATTTTAAAATGTGTTTTTTCAAGATCCTACTATCCATAGTAATAGCTTAACTCGGTCTTACAGTGGTTTGCACAAGAGTGAATAACTTCATTTTTCTATAACATGCACAACTGACTTTATCTGTGCATTCAAGATAATTTTAACGCCTAATAATTTACTTCTTTCTATTCACAGGAACCAGATGATTGTTTTGTTCGACAAACAAATACATCTTTTAGATATGGTTATGAATATTTGGGTAATAGTGGACGTTTAGTGATTACTCCTCTTACTGATCGATGTTATATTACACTAACAACTGCTCTACATTTACACAGAGGTGGTTCACCTAAAGGTCCAGCCGGTACTGGTAAAACAGAGACAGTAAAAGATTTAGGAAAGGCACTTGGTGATTATGTTATCGTGGTCAATTGTTCTGAAGGCCTAGATTATAAATCAATGGGTCGTATGTTTGCTGGTCTTGCTCAAACTGGTGCGTGGGGATGTTTTGATGAATTCAATCGGTAAGTCAGTAGTCTGTCATATCACTTATAAACTTTAATATCTGTTTGTTTAACAGGTTATTTAATTGAATTCTTTGTATTTTTGTTCGTTTTAAAGTATGTTAATTGTCGCAAAATACTGAATATCGCTATATTCTTGTCTTCCTTTTTTTAAAATTATATTTTAATAGTATTAATATTGAAGTATTGTCGGTAGTTGCTCAACAGATTCTTTCAATTCTGTCAGCATTAGCATTAGCTGAACAGTCGGGCAATCAGAATACTAAGACAAGATTTATGTTTGAAGGTCGAATGATTCAATTAGTTTGGTCTTGTGGTATATTTATTACAATGAATCCTGGTTATGCTGGACGAACAGAATTACCTGATAATCTAAAGTCTATGTTCAGACCAATAGCAATGGTTGTACCAGATTCATCAATGATTGCAGAAATTACCCTATTCGCAGAAGGTTTTGGTTCGACTAAGGTAATAATAAGGAAAATATAAATGATGTATTTTAATTTTTATTACACTTACGTTATTAGCTATCATTTGTTTTAATTTATTCTGTATACTAGGTTAATTTTAAAGTACCTTGTACTTTTTAACACAGTTTGATTTTCATTGGGTCAATCATTGAACAAAAGAGGGTTAAAATCAGTATAGACTGTGATAAAAGTGTGAATCTAATTTGTATTGAAGCACGGTTTCAACCAACAGCAGAAACAACCAGCACCAATCACCATCAGTGAGAGAGATTTGACAGAGGTTACTTCTTCCAACTATCTGTCTGGGAAGCATCGTTTCAGCTACAGAGATTCGGAACAGATGAAGATGTCAAAGTCAGAATCGATATGGCAAGATACGCTTTCATCAAGGTGAAACCAGATAGGAAATCTTCCGCACTGGCTCAGCATAAACAAAAAGATTGGGATTTCCAACACACATGTTCAGTCAGTCTGTCAGTCACTTCTTCTATACAGGTCAGAAAATTGCAGTGCATGTCAGTCACAAAAAGCATTTCCAACAAATTAAAGACTTTTATCAACAGCTGCCAACTTCACTGGCTCCATATTTAAAATCAAAT